CAAGCCAGGATTTAAATCAAATGTAACATTTTTAATCTCTTTGACACATAGAACCTCAGACAGGTTATTAAATGCTGAGGTATAATAACAATTTTTCAGAAAAAAAAAATTCAAGTAGGTGATGTATTTCGGAGATAAGTAAGACTGCTTTGTTTTGCCAGGGCTTTTTGTGGTTTTTTTTGGTTTTTTTTGAGAGGGAGTGCTTTGTTTTCTGGTGGTTTTAGAAAATAAAATATGTCATTTAAATAAAAGATGTTATTTAAATAAAAGATTTCATAAAATAAGATTTATCTTCCCTGTCTAATAAGAAAGTGGGCTGATCCACATTCCCCAGGAGACTCAATCACTTTAAGACCTTGTTATGAACAGAAAGCAAAAAGTATAAGCTCTCCAGATGCCATGAAGATGCACATAAACTAATTCCAGGGCTGGAGAGGTAAGAAATATGAACCAAAAGCCTTGTTTCCAATCCCTGATTATCATTTGCAATTCCACATGTTTGGTCACGAACACCAGTGTAAGACTTAACACAGTTTCGCGCTCAAACTGGGATCAAAGCTAAATCAATGATGGACAGCAGCTCCACGGATGCTCAGAGACATACTCAAGTTGGTAAGTGGCTGCTGACCTCCTGAAAACAAAAGTGGCTGCTAATTCTATCTATCAATAGCGTGACTTGGTCATTTACCCACACTTCCAGGTCAAAAACAGGAGAGAAACAATCACACAAGGAAACTGGGTAAACATGGTATGTACAGCAAGACAAAAGTTACAGAATTAAATGAAAGTCATGCTGTGAAAGTCAGTTCCTAGTTTGGGGGCAGAAAGTAACACAGTAGCAATGCCTTAAAGTTCAGGAGACAGGAGTTATCTCAGTGTGGACACACGAGCTACGCTGCTACAGCTACTCTCTGTTTCCTGTGCATGTAAACCATCTGTCTGGTGTTCAGCAAAAAAGTTCTTGTGACACTTGGGAAGAGTTCAGTCTACAAAGCATGGGCACATACCTCCTGCCTCGGCCTGAATCTGTCCTTTGATGTAATTGGCAGAGAAAACAGGCTGCTCAATTGAGCATCCTTTCACCAAATAAAATGGCATCATGAAAGACTGCATAGGATCCTTGCCCTTCGTCACAAAGATCACCTGCAAGACAAAAGGGAGCGCTTCTGAATTACTTGAACTCGATACAGTGGGTGATCGTGGAGTTCTAGTTGTATCAGCATCCAAAAAGAGGGTAATTTAAGTCCTAATATGAATATGCATTGTGTTATTTCACAGCTTTCATACTGCAGATCCCCAATGGATTTGATAGCACATGGTTCACTTGCCTGAAGCACGTATGTTCCAAAATAATAAACCACTTAAAACATACACGCACATTTACAGAGTTTTATTGTTCTGCTTTTGAAGGATAAGCTATGAGAGTTTTCAAAGAAAGTAATACTAAATGACACATTATACAAAATATATTCCCTAGACAGTGATTTCCAAGACTGCAAGTGCCTTTGTAGGGAACTGGGATTGTGACACAGGTACGAACTATCCTATTTTCACCTTCTGTTTTCCTACCTAGTGCTGATCAGTAGTTCCTTCCACAACAAAAATCACCTCTACCACCAACTAGGTTTCTGGTCTAAAGTTCACAAGATCCCTTGGGAAAGAAACAGCCCTGGTGGAATCAGACTTACCCTGTAAGGGGTGAGATACAGCATCCCTTTCTTGGTGCCTTTGAAGACTTCAGGCTTGCCTGTCACGTCACTGAAGGAGAGCTCCACATCTTTACACTGCTTGAGAACACTACAGGAGAAAATCAGACATTGGAGAGAAAAACTCAGCAAGAGCTCTGACACACACCCTCATCACACAGGGAGTGGAATAGCACACCAAAATTCTAAATATTATGCCAAAAGTTCTGCTGTGGGCCATTTTGACTTTGAACAGAGAGGGATGATTTATGTGGAGTAGAAGAATTCATCCTCTCACCTGAGACAAGCCCTACTGCTCCTCCACAAAGGGAAGCTTTAAATAACAGTTTCTCTTTCTGTCTCAAAACCCCGAGAAATTCAGGCTGAGAAATTCTGCTCTGCACATAAAAAGCCTCATCCCAAGATCAGTGAACAGAAAGGGTTGACTTGTCAGAAACCATCCCCTTGATGCCAAGGTGTAATCTCACAGCAATCCTCTCTCTGCAGTCCGTGCTCAAACCCAGGCCACTGCACCAGAAAACAGCACTGCTGTAACACCTCACCCGCTGTGCAAACTGAGGAAGCGGCTCTACTAACACCCCCTCTGCTGACCCTGCTTCACATGACTTAAGTAAGTACTTGTAATAAACAGTACCACACTAAGGAACAAAACAATGAGCCAGTAATGTCAGCAATAAGGATATTATTGTTGGATATCTATGGGAACATTAGCAGAGTCTGCTAATGACACAAAGCCAGATGAGAACTGTGAACACTGCAGGGTCAGGGGTATGGAGGTGCCTGGAAAATTAAATATATTTTCAGAAAAAAAAAAAGAAAGAGTCATCTTGGAAAAGTATGTCACTGAATCTAGGGGGCAGATCCTAAACATACCACACAGTAAGAAAATTTGCAGAACAAACAAAAGAGCCTTGGGGGTGATAAACTTTCAGTGTGTTACAGTGGCAGAAGACGCTGAGGTGTTTTATGATTCAAGAGCATGAAAAAACAAAATCACAAAACCCTAAACCAGAACAAGCCTGGAACAGGTTGCATCTGAAGTAATTCTTATTCTGATCAGCATACTGTAGAGTTCGAATGAAGTTGTGAAACTGCGCAATTATTTGGGGAACAGAGGAATCTGCAGGGCCACCATATAGGAAAACAACCAAAAGCCCCGTAGTTTCAGGCTTGTTTGCTCTTTAGGGAAGAGGTCAACATTGTAGATGTATCTGAAAAATGCAGCTACTTGAGAATGAAGACATTAAAAATTCTAGCTTCAATGAGAAAAAAACAACCTCACCAAGAAACTCCACTGGGACATTACTTCATAATTGAGCTGGATGCAGATTCTCAGATTGGCTGGAAGGGACAGACTGATGAGGCAGAAGAGTTCTTCCCATTTCCAAAATGCAAGGGGAGAAACATTTCTTCTAAGCTAAATAAAATCAGCTTCTTGACAGCTTTGATCCTACCAGATCATTTCCTCAGCCATGTCCCTTAGCAGCGTTTCACATCAGTTTGCGTCACCAGGAAGAATTTCTACATAGTCACTGCCATGTTTACTCCTTCACAGCTACTCACACAAGCAAATAACATGCAGCTACCACCACTGGGAGTAATTAGGCTGCTGAACTGGTTTGCACCTTCATGCCTGTCCAGGGCTGTCACGGGAGGGCTGCGCACCCTGTGGACTGTCCCCACCTGTGACTAAGCACCACCTCGAAGAATGGCCTAAGCTCATAAAATCGTAGAATGTTAAGGGTTGGAAGGGACCTGAAAGGTCACCTAGTCCCAACCCTCCTGCCAGGGGCAGGGACACCTCCCACCAGACCGGGTTGCTCAAGGCCTTATCCAACTTGGCTGAAAACTGTCAGGGTTGGGTCACCGACAACCTCCCTGGGCAACCTGTTCCAGTGTCTCATCACCCTTAAAGATTTTCTTCCCAATGTTTAGCCTAATTTTCCCCCATTTCAGTTTGAAGTTTGAACTAAGTTCCTTGTCCTATCACTGCAGTTCCTGAGGAAGAATTGCTCTCCAGCTTCCCTGTAGGCCCCTTCAGATGGAAGGCTGTTGCCAGGTCTCCACACAGGAGAACAGCCAGGCTGAGCAGTCCTGGCTTTCTCAGCCTGTCTTTCTAGGGGAAGTGCTCCATTCCTCTTACCAACTTTGTGGCCTCATTTGGACTCGCTCCAACAGCTCCAGGTCCTTCTTATGTTGGGAACCCCAGAGCTGGACGCAGTACTCCAGGCAGGGTCACACCAGAGTGGAGCAGAGGTACAGAATCACCTCACTTGACCTGCTGGCCACACTGCTTTTGATGCAGCCCACAATTCAAAGGACAGAGAGATCTCCTTTAAACCAGCATGAGCTCTACATGTCAAAGGACTTCCTTGACTGAAGTATTAGGAGTCAGCTACAAACTAAACGCTACTTGGAGCATATTTCTGGAGCGCATTTTTCCTACTGACCACCAGATCCAAACCAACTCCTCTGATCTTTTACTTCGATCCTTTACTGGGCTTCGTTTCTAGGATGTGTCTTGCCAGGATGCCGAGAGCCCCTGAACACACCAAGCCGAAGCCCGAGCCCGTTAAGCCGGTCTGTCAGTCCCCACTTGGGGCGAGGGCAGGCGTCGAGCAGCTGCTGGCTGTGCTTCCATGGAGAGGCGCCTCCCCGCACAGAGAAGGAACAAGTGTTTCTTACTTCGAATTCAAGGAATCGAGACTCCTACCTTAAGTGGTCTCTGCCTCTCTGACGTCACTAATTGCATAACCTTAAAAAACCCCCAATTCCTTAACTTTTACAGCGATGGCAGCTCGCTCTTCACGTAGCGAAGAGCGGCACTAAGGACGGCCGAGCTCCCGCAGCGAACACCGGGCAGCTCTGCGGACCCCAGCCAGGCCTGCTCCCCGCACTGCCCGCCCCAGCCCGCGCCCACCCTGCCAGGAGCCCTTTAACAACGCAGACCCCAGGCCGCGCCGAGCCCGGGCGGGCGGGCGGGAAGGGAACTGTGGTTGCGCCAGCAGGAGCCTCCCACCCCCGGGCCCCACCGGCCCGGCGCGGCCCTTCAGGGGATGAGGAGGACGCCCCGGTGCCGCGGTACCTCTCGGCATTGGGGATGACGACACCACCCTCCTGCGAGTGATTCCTGTTCAGCGCCATCTTCGACCCGCCGGCCCCGCCCCTCGCGCGGGGGTGACTGTGACGTCACTCCCGAGGCCCCGCCCCCAACCGATCTCTTCCCCGCTGGCCCCGCCCCCCGCGGCGCGCGGCGGGCGCGAGTCGGAAATAATCGGTGCGGGAGGCGGAGGAGGCGGCGCCGGGAGGGTTTAATGGCGGACACCGCGCAGCCCCGCCCGCTCTGCCCGCCCGCTCTGCTCCGCGCAACCTGGCCTCAGGGGACGCTGTCCAGGGTTTGCCGTGCGCTTGGCAAAGTTCTTCCGGCGAACGGCGTGTGTGGTGAAGAGTTTGCGAGTCTCTGAACGCGCTGAGTGGGCACCTGTGGTACTAAGTTTCGACTCTGCCCCTCTGTGATATCGTTAAGGGGATATCTCGGGGGAACAGCTGGCTTGCTGTGGTCATCCTGGAAACTCAGCTGGTGGCTCACGATTCAGGCTTTTCCCAGCTTATCCATCGACAGAGACTTCTTCCCCACAGTATCTCCCGTTGTCGTGCAATGTGGGGATTTTTTTTGTATTTGCCATTTGTAGACTTCCTGGTAGATACACAGTTGACCGTAGGATATTGGCATGAGCAGCTGGCAGTGAGGAATACCTGAGCTTGCTTTTCTCAGCGAGCTTTTACAGATCCTTTAGAAGTAGTCCATGATCTAACAAGAAATTACAGAGCAGAGCATAAAAACCACCTTATTACAAACAAATAAAAATTCCTAAACCTACAGGGTGAAACACACAGCCTTGTCCTTGCAATCTACATTACAGGAAAATTTCTCTCTTCTGTTGTGTGTGTCTGCTTTGTTTGCTTGAAGCAGCATTGTCTCTCTGCCATAATTCTTGTTTGGGTCCCAAAGTCTTAGAAATTAACAAAGTGCAGCCCAGGGCAATGAACTCGTGAGGTGGCTTCGTGCTTCAGTGCTGTGAAGAAACAGCCTGGCATTGTCTTTGATGAGGACGTCTTTGATGGCCTTGGGCTGAGGGTGGCTTGTTGTATGGCAGAACATGGAGCAGCATGGCAGGATGGTTTCTGCAGGGTCTGTGGCACAGCTGCTGGCACTGGTGACAAGGCTGCTGTTTCTCGCAGGCCTGAGGAGGCCTGGTACAGGGGGAAGGGGGGTACATGGCTATGTGCACACACTGCATACAGGAACACTGGGAGCCATGAATGTGGGTGGTGAAAGCACTACGTGGAGCTGGTATGGCCCTCGCATCCTAGTGGTGCTGAACATGGCTGATTTGCATGGACAGGTGAGAGTGAGAGTGAAGAGACCTTTGCTTTGCAGTGACAGCACCAGAGAAAGCCACAACATGGACATGTGCTCTTAGATGGCTTTGCTGAGGCTTGGAGCACCCTGTTCCCAGCCCTGGCCCCTGTACCGACCTGTCAAGCAGCCTCGGGCTTGACTTGAGTCCTCCTCCATTGCTCATTTGCTGTTCCCTCTTCCTCCCTCTCTCATCAGGCATTCCAACCCCTATTGCAAACCGACCGCACTCCTCTTACTCCCCCTTACTCACAGTGCTGCCATCCCACACCATGGCATTCTGCTTGTGCATTTTAAGTGCAGCTGGCAATTCTCCTGGAGGGACAACCCCTGCCAGCCATGTGACATGCAGACAGGCAGACACTGCCAAACTCAGGACATCTCTGATCTTCTCCCCTCCTCCCTTCTGCCCAAGACAGACCCAGCACTTTTCACCTCACTCAGGGACATCCAGAAAACAGCTGACACCAGCTAGACACAAGCATGTAGTCTTCAGTAAAGCTGTGCCTTTTTCTACTCTGGGGAAGGTGAAATGACAGCTCTTCAACAGGGCACAAAAGCACATTGTTAAGAAGATTTGAGAGCTTGGGAGAGGGAAGAAACAGCCTGGAGAAGAGGAGTGTTCAAGTTCTTGGAGAAATGAAAGAGAGACAGCAAGGGTAAAGAGCAGAGAAAGTGAGATAGGGAAAGAAAGGGAGGAAGAAAGTTACGGAGGGCTAAAAGGGAATAAGAATAAAAGCACAGGAGTTGAGGAAGAGACAGGACAGTAGGAGGAGAGAAGAACAGCCCTGAGACTGCTGCAGTAACAAGTGCAGCCATATCGATGAGGAGGAGGTATCTCTTGTGTCTCCGTCATCAGTGAAGATCCAGGGAGACACTCTGGCCCAGTGCTTCTCAATCCATAGCTCTTTGCACTGCTCCCAAGATCCTCAAGGCCCTGTGCTGAGTGGAGCTGTCCCTGTGGGAGGTCCCAGCAGGGATCCCCTATGGCACTATCTTTCCTGCACTCCCACAGCAAAGGGGCCATGTTGGGAAAAGGTCGGAGTAAGGTTGCCTGGTGTGTGCTCACTGCTGGTGGAGAGACCACTGCAGTGGGGGATTGCAACAATGGGATGGGATGGCCCCATGAGGTGGGGTGAACCCAGGATAGCTTGGTCTGATCTGCACCAAGTCAAATGCCTGTGACACAAGCATGGCTTTTGACTTTAGCACTGGGCAGGGCAAATGCACCCTCTGCAGCGGGCACATGTTCTTCTCCTCTGGGTTTTGCTTCTTTTGGAAAATACATCTATTTTCCCCAAGTACTTTGATGCTTCTCAAACAGATGCTACAGCCCAAGAACTAATTTGTCTCCTCCCAGCAGTCACTTGCTCTGAACCATAAAACATGCCAGTCTTCTCTTACCTATCCACTTCCAAGGTGCCATTTCCCCTTGGGAAGCCCCAGCAAGAAATGGGGATAAAATGCCAGGCCACCATGCCCTCAGAGCAATCGGCTGCCTTTACACCCATGAAAGATCCAAGAGAAATCTCTGCTGACATCTCTTGAAAACACTGCATGCACTGACTTCACCATCTCCTCTGGAGTCTCTCCTTACTATGTCTCCAAGTGATAAGAACAGGACCAGAGCATGTCCCACATGTCTCACCTCCAATATCCATGCACCCAGAAATCCTTCCCCCCAACCCTATTTGCCCCAGGCAAGACACACAGCTGAGACACAGAAAAGAGAGAAGGGAAGATGACAGACAGTCCACTGTGCAAAAACCAAACTGAGAATGAGGACACTCTGGGAAGGGTGGGGGAGATGCCCTTGGTCCCTCTCCGGCACACAGGTGGGCACATGCACGCCTGCACACACTCACACTTGCATCCTCTCACGCCCACGGAGGATGTGCCACATGCTTCAGAGACAGGCCCATGGCAGAGTCAAGGATAGCAGGGGTGGGATGTCATATCCGGAGACACCGGGTGACAGCGGGGGGGAGGATCATTCACAGGTTACTTTCGTGGTTTTCCTCTGTCTCGACAGTCATGGGGGGCAGCCCTCCATTGTCATTCAGCCGTTTGGCCCTATAGGTCTCATAGTGGATGTTGTGGGTCACTTCTTTTAGGTCCTGAAGGTGGGTCCTGCAGGGGACAAAGTGAGATGGGACACAGGGTGTGATAACCAATATCAGCAGTCAGGATTAATTTTCTGATGATAATTTTATTCCCTGAGAAAAATGGAAGACTTTTTTTTCAGTCAGTCTTGCTAATGATCATACCCCTCTTTCTGCATGGTTGGCACGGGTACCATCATACATGACTGAGATCTGGAGCATCAACATTCAATATTCACACATATGCAGGATGCAGGATATGGGCTGAATTTCCTGGCTGTGCTTGCCAGTGCCCTGCCCCTCTCACACCCATGCCACCAGGACAGCTACTGGCCATCCTGGTGCGTCAGAGCAGACAGGAACTTATCGGAAGCAGTGATGAGACAAGGAAGCATCAGGAAGGTGTATCAGGTCCCCTGCAGACCATAATCTGCAGAACACTGCTGTGAGCACCATCTCTAACCTCCATAGAAAGCCTGTGGACTTGGATTGCTATATGTTTTGTGATGATCTTTTGGGTAGGATGTTTTTACTGGAAGACTTGGGGAATGCACCTCTGCTGCTGAAGGCATCGCAGGACAAAAAAAAGGGCAGTAGGGTGATGTCAAAGCATTGTACGTGGCCAAGTGTCTTGATACCACCATACCCACAGGTGGGGACGGTAGCCAGAGGCCACAGCCCTCTGGAATGAACTGTGTTTCCTTTATTTTATTATTTTTGATGTTGTTTTAAAACCTTATTTTATTTATAGGGAATAGAGATGACCCTGGATCTGCAGCTCTCCAACAGAATTTGGGATAGATATCACTTAGGTACTGAGGCAACTTCATGAAAGAGAGTAAAGCTGAATGAAATATGGAGCTTTTCGCTTCCAGCTTATATGTTCCAGCACATCCTTCAACCTGGAAGGACACATGGTCTAGGAGGGGATAGTGACCTCTTGATCACTGACCTATTGCCAGCAACAAATAGTAGTTTTTACAACCATAATGGGATACAGGGGGTGTGGTAGTACTCTGCTTTTGTCCAGATGTCCATCCCATACATGAAAACTAGCACCTACTTGACATAGTGGTCATGTTGCTAAGAGAGGCACTAGAGTATCTACTCCTTAACTCAATCCAACCCTAGCCAACATAAGCTTCCACTGCCTGGAATGTACTCTATTCTCCTTTCCATAGGGGCTATTTCACTCTAAGTGGATCTCAGGGAGACTCATGGCTAATCAAGAACAAACTAGTGCATGATCATGGCCTTACCTGATGACAAAATCTCGAAGTAGAGCAAATTCACAGTGAGAGAGGTTTTCCACTGAAAAGAAAGCAAGCAATTGTTACATTCGATTTTTTTTTGACAACCCCTTTGTGGTTACAGAGCACGGGAAAGTTACTGCCATGGGGCAGGTTCCAGGTGGAACCTGCATACTTCAGAAAGGACAAACAGTTGTCTGAACACCACACTGCTGGGCATTGAAGGAGACACGCTAAGAGGTGCTGAGCAGTCACACATGAATTTTGTGACTGTGAATATTTGAAAACTAAGGCAACCTCAGGAGCTTAGTTTCACACACTGTGGTGTTCAGAGTGGCTCCAGCTTCTGCCAGGTGGTGGTAGTGACACTGCATTGACCATGGCAGTTTCCTTCCAGCACAGTTATTTGAGAATTCTCCCCTTGTCTGGTTTCAAAAAGTTTATCACAAATGGGATGGGAAGATATCCATGGGACATGTTATCTGGACCGCTGTCTACTACTGTGACCTGCAGACATACTTTCTGCTCCCAGAAGCAAGTGGGGTTTTTTACCTTCAATGATTCCCCAAGGTGTTTTCCTGCCCAGGACTCTTTTGCCATTCACCTGATACTCCTTGTCGCTGCCCACTACTGCAAAGGGCATGCTTTCCTGCTGGGGAGAGACATGTGAAAAGACCTATTGAATTCATTTCATAGAGCACACCACCACTGTTCCCATCCACCTTTCTTCCACTCAGCTCAACAAACACAAGGCCTTCTCCAAGGCAAGAGGTTCTCCTGAGCAAAACTTTACTGGCTGTCCTCTTCACCTGTTAGTGCATTTTGGACCCTCGCTTTCCAGGTGCCCTTGCACCACCCCAAGCTTAGGGGATAGCTTGCAGCAGGGCCAAGGGTTCTGGAGTAGGAGGCAGAGCTTTTCTGCATTCATCACCAGCATTTCTGAAGAGGGAGATGACCAGAGAAGAAGTACCTTGGTGTTACCCAGGCAGGGTCTGGCAGAGCAGGGCTTCTCATATGGATAGTTCGAGGTGAGTATTTCTCACCAAGCTTGTAGTTCTTCACAAGAGAAAAAGGAGAGGACTCAAAATAATCCTCCTCAATAAGACACAGGAAAAATTAGCAAATTTAATGGCTTAAAGGGTTGTACCAAGGAAGGCCAGAAATGGAGTAGGGATGCAGCTTTGCTGGGAAGTGGGACACTAGGTGAGGCTATTGGGGACCCAGATATCTCTAAGCACAGGAAGAAAGTGTCTGTTTCCAGAGTACAGGGTGCAGGAGACCCTGCTATCCTTAAGGTTGTGCAGATGTTCACAGATTTACTCTGCTTTATAGATATCCCTGAGCCTGGGAAGAGACTGCAGTTACCACAGGAATGGAGATTAAAAAGCAGTTTATTTACTATGTGTGAGGCCAATGGTGCTGAGTGCAGAACAAAATGTGGTGCCCTCCTCATTCCCCCTTCCCCTCCCACAATAAAATGTTTCCTACCCTGATTTTGTCGTTCTCTGTTTTATCCTCCAAGTCCTCATCAAATTCTTTCTGGGGATAAAACTCGATCCCATTTACTTCAAGTTCTTTGCGCACCTAAGCAGAGAGACATTTTGGAGCATAAAGCAACACAAACCTGAAGGAAAGGCAGTTGAGATGTCCAGGCAAATACATCTGGGACATCCTTCCAGTGGGCAGGGGCTGGAGGGATTGTCCCAAGGAAGTGTACAGCAAAGTGAGGACACATGTCAGCAATGATGAGTCTTTCTTCCCGACCCCAGGTATATGGCTGGCTCTCCAGTTCCCATCACAGAATGTATCAGAAGATATCACAGGGATACACACGTTTCTTCCTTCTCTAAAGATGCCCTCAAAGCTATAAACAACTGCGTCTTTAGGACTTACCCACCCACCCAGTGCTGGACTCTGCATGCACTGGGACTGCACTGCAATCCCAGGAAGGATACCACTCATTTCTCCCACCTCCAAGCCAGGGCAGGGAAGGATCCCATGCAGGAGAGGAGATACTCACTCTTTGCTTGAATTCAGTCTTCTCCTCCAAGGTCATGGTGTCAGCCTTGGCAATAACTGGGATGATGTTCACTACCTTGCTGAGATGTTTCATAAATTCCAGGTCCAAAGGCCGCAAGCTGCAGCCCAAGAGGGAACAACATGGAAGGGGTCACTTTACCCTCCTTGCCTTTCATCCTAGTGACTCTCCCAGCATCAGGGCATCAGTGAACCCTCCCTTATACATACCCTGCTTGCTACCACCATGCTCTCATCTCCTTCTTCCCATCCATCCTTCCCTCTCCCAAAAAACACAGGGGCATTTTTCCTGCTCTTGTTATCCTAGACCCTTTAAAGCCCCACAGCACCTGAAGTTAAGCTAAACAGTGTCCAGCTCTGCTGACAGGATCCCCAGATTCATGTCTGAAATGGAGCAGTGTAGGGTATCTATCTGGCACAGAGGCACAAAGGGCTTGAGGAAGGATGAGGGACTGTGTACATACGAGTGGCCTGTAGGAGAGATGAAGTAGAGGCAGCAGTGCACTCGCGTGTCTGGAATTCGTTTCTTCCTTGCAATATTCACCTCCTCTTTCAAAAATTTTTCATACTGCTCATTGATGTATTTCTCAATAGGTTCCCAGCTGTTAAAGTGGGAGAGAGAGATGAATAGACAGGTACACATCTCTTGAGATACCTGCCTACAGTGTTCCCAGCTCTGACAGCAGCAAAGCAGGCTCAGGCATAGAAAGTATCCACCTCAAGCATCTTGCCATCAACAGAGATATTTAAGAGTTTCTGTAGCTGGGCACAAAAATAAACATGCACCATGTAATGGGTACATACCCCCAAGCATGCACACAGACCCATGGTGTTCACAATCTCATGGCCCCATTACAAGCCCCCTGAGTGCAATAGGATCCCAGATGCTTTCCAGGACCCAGGAGATGAGACTCACTTCATATACCATCTTAATTCCAGACCTTCCTGAGACACAAGGCCTTGACCTTGTAAAACTCACCAGTTCTCATTGTTGATCTGGTCCCCAAATCCTGGTGTGTCAATCACTGTCAGCTTCATTTTGACACCACCTTCTTCAATGACTGGGGGAGAAATTGCAAACAATCATACTCCTCCCTGGGGACCTATGTTTCTGTGTCCTCCAAGGGAACAAGAGGGCTCTGCCCTCATCCCTGCCCAACAAGTATGACAAGACCAGGCTGGGTCATACCTCAACAGTTATGATCCCCACTCGAATGTCTAACCCCAAATTTTGTTAACATCTATACCAAAGCCACCTTACAACACCCTGACACAGAAAAACGGATTTGTGCTCAGTTTGTGGCCCAGAGGTAGTACCTACCTTACACAAATTCTCCTCCCCTCTAATGCATCATCCTGAATCTGAGATGATGCTTGTTACTGCTGCAGGAGCTGTACTGATGCTTTGCCATGAGGATATGTGCTCTACCGGGCTTGGGATGGGACCCACCAATGCAACTTGTGTAGATTATTAAGTGTCTGCAGGTGGGAATGACTTACAGCAAGGCTTAATTGACACATGCAGATTAATTTCTGAGCAGAAGAAAAATCTATAACTATTTTTCTACCCCTCACTTCAGACTCTGGCATTAGTGGCCTTACTGTTTAAGAAAAGCCTTGTCCGGCTCTGAGGCCACCTAAAACTGTCCTTTAGCTTTCCACGGAGAAAGGGCTGCCTAATACCAAAGAACTATTTATGAAGACTACTGGGACCTTCTGCAAGACTGCACTGAAGCATCAGTATTGCTTCCACTCCAGCAGCCTGGCTCTTACCATGCCCAATGGCTTTGATCTCCACTGTCTTGGGGATCTTCTCCTCCCGGTTCCAGCCTGAAGATTTGCGGCTCACCTGGGATTTGAAGAGTGTGTTCACCAACGTTGATTTTCCCAGTCCGCTCTGACCTGAGGATTGCAGAGAGGAACCTTGTGACATTTGCCACAGCCTGGTGATGACAGCAGGCCCAGGGGATGGAACCAGGCTGGCAGGGGAAAGGGCTATAGGTGTCTCCTTGCCTTGTGCAGGCTCTCCTTTCCCTCAGAGCAAGTGAGCAAGTGCTGTCTGCTCCCTCGTGCCCTCCCCACAGGGCTTGCTCTCCCACCTGGCCTCAGAGGACAGTCCCTGGCCATGGTTCCCAGTTCCTCCGTTGGTCCCTGCCTACCTACAACCATGATGTTGAAGTCAAAACCCGTCTTCATGGTTTTCTTGCGCATCTGCTCAATGATGGTGTCAATACCGATGTAGCCCAGCAAGCTGGCATTGATGCCCACGGGTTTCATCGGCACGACTGGTTTTTGTCGTGGCTCTGGTACCAGCTCAGACATGGCTGCTTCGTTTTTGGTCTCCACTGGTCCTGCACAGGAAGAAAGGTTCAAAAATAGTCAACGAGGTTTAAAACAACCTCCCTGCTGACCTGTCACAGGGGCTGAGGGAAACTTTGATCAATTTCACAGCCTACTGAGGAGGACTGAATGGCAAGATTTTAGCAGTAAGGCTCTTCATGGAGGAACATCTACTTCTATGCACCACTCCAGACAAGGAGGTGAAGTGGGCTTCATTGAGCATGCATTGATGGCTACTTCCAAACAGCAGGAGCAGACTCAGTGAACCTGGCTGGGCTGATAATCAGGTGCCCAAAGCTCTGTGTGTGTCTCCTCATTTTTGTCTCTCAGTTCTCCACAGAATCACCAGTGTTCTGCCACTCCAAGTTTACCATGAAATTTGTGATGGAACAGACTTTCAAAAATTGTCGTGTGCCAAGTCCTGGCATTGAAACATAGTTTGGGACGTACTGTGAGGACCTGCAAGCTTGGCCCTTGCCAGGGGCAGATGCTTTACTGACCATGCTGGTGCTGTGCAGGCTGAGCTCCTCAGAGGAAGGCAGTGGTGGAAGTGAAAGTATGGCCATAATCTCTGTGCTTACCTCCCACCCACAAACTAATCATCATGATCAAAAATTATTATCTGCATCTTTCCTTCCTCACCTCTCCCTCCTCACTTCTTCCATGTAAAACAAACAGGCAAAAAGAAAGGCCCTGAGAGCTTTCTAGCCTCCCTGACTCTTTTTCGGGTGAGGGCACACATTGCTTAGGGCAGGCTTCCCCATTTATCTTCATCTCTTGTCTCATTAGTGAGCAGCTCCCTGCCACTGGGAGGAAGCCAGAGGTTGGAAGAGGACCGGGCATTGAAGAAAAGCTGTAATTGGTGGGGAAGGGAGGCGTGAGGGATGAATCTAGAAAGGAAGATGAAAGGGATGGGAATCAAATACCTTGCATATACAATCCAGCTGCAAACTAGAGCCTCTCCCTCTCTAATTACTTGACGTCCTCATGCTTTGTCTTATTAAATGCTTATTTTTCCAGGACAGTGACAGCGTGTGTTTTTGCTTGGTAAGTACTCCATTTGTTTTAGATGCTACTTCAGTCTAAGTATCTCACAATAAATTATCCCTTTCCATCATTTCAGCAGAATCCACTGGCTGCAGAGAAAGACATGAGCAGCCAGGCAGGCGACTGCCATTTGGTGGGTGATACATGCCCCTCTTGGCAAGGAAAATGACTCAGAGATCATCAGGCTCTGGACACTGATGGCACCAATCCACAGTCCCTGTGACAGCTCAGCCAGGCCAGGCAGAGACAGGTTGGAGAGAGATCAGAGAGATTTTGTTCAAGGACAGAGTTGGGCTGCAGCACGCTCCATGGCTGGCTGGGGACCCTGCCTGGCATTCCCACATCAGCACTTCTGTGCAGACACAGGGCTGCTCTGTGTGGTGAAGATTTTATATTTTATATAAGCTGTAATATCCCACTATCATGTGCTAAGGAAAAACCTTGTGGAAGGAGCACCCTCGCTGGGGAGAAGGGTGCCTCCACCCAGCTTCTTTTAACTGCTTGGGAAGTCTTTGATTTTAAACTGGGAGAAGGGATCTTTCCTCTGTATGAGAGGATGGTAGCACAGCCACTCCTGCACAGCACTGTGGGTAACATCTGAAGGCTCTTGTACCAGCTCTGTTCCACCTTGCCCACACAGAAGAGGTCAGCAGGAGGATGGTCCCCCTCCTGCTCTCCCCCACCAAGCAAGGGCACCTTGAGCTATCATCATCCTCTCCTGAAGCAGTGAGCAGCACCCTGAGGGGACCACAGCACAAGATGGACCGTTGACTTGAGCCAGGCTGGCAATTTGGAGCACCTCACACTGCCAGGCAGCTGCTGGAGGAGGCAGCCTGCAGAGCTGAGTGCTTCTCAGCTGCAATCCTCTCTTACACCCATCACAACTAGTCTGTGCCTTTCTTGCTGACGAAGCCCACCCTGAGGCTCCTGTTGTCTTTTTCCAGCTTTGTCAAAGCTGGTGCCAGCCAGGAAAACCCAGATCTTTCGTACAGCACAGGGGGCCAGGCCAGCCAGCTCTCCTGCAGACTGCCCTTCACTCGTCCTCTCCCAGGCTGCCCCAAACCACCTGTATCGTGGTCTCATGGCTGTGCCATGTCCCTCATCCTGCTGCAGCATCCTCCAGTACAAACCCCACACAGCCCTGCTGGATTCCCACCTACCCCAAAGAGAGGGAGAAGAGAGAGACAGGTGATGAAGAGGGCATGTGGGACAGGGAACTGTGGCCAGTGAGACACTTGGCTGCTGCAGTAAGTGGGGCCAAATAAACCCTGGAGAGATACAGGGAAGAGGTAGCTGTGAGAAGAAAGCCCAGCTGACGAGCTGCATGGGATGGGTGCAGGACCTGGGCCATATGGGCTGTGACCCCTTTGCTGCCTGGGTAGTAGCTTGTCCTCAGGGAATCTGTTGCTCTCTCCTTTATTCCTTCCACCCTTCATTCTTGCATAGGAAGGATAAGGAAGTAGGGAAGCTGCTGGTAGCCTCAAGGCTCATTAAGAGGTTCAAAATTCATCCCTCAATCTCACCAAGGGAAGCTTTGCACAGAGCTGACAGATGTTGCTGACTGCTGTGGACATCATGATATGTGGCCATCCCTTCACAGCTGGAGCCAGATATTTCAGAGTCAGGTTCCTGAGCAGCTATAGAAAACCCTGAAACCAGGAGAAAAGATCTCCAGAAGTCTCCTTAAACATATTTCCTGGATTTTATATCTGGACATTCAAGGTGTCAGGGTAAGCAACCTCCCTTTATCCTCTTCGTCACTTGCCTTCCTCTCTGTGTGGAGTGCCTTCCTATTTGGCCTCAGGTGGGGAAGCCCCCATTTTGCAGAGATTGCCCGGGGGTTCAGCTTTCCGCACATGATTTTCCACCTCTTGATTCTCACAGGTGAATCCAAGGAGCCAACTGAGGAACAGCCTGCTAGGGAGGTCAGGGTGTGCAAAACGGGGACCAGAGCCATAAGATGCACCCTGAGACAAGAAACGTGCCTGCCTGCTCTCCTGGGAGTGGCTGTTTTACGTGCATTAAAGCTAATGCTGCTAGGAAGCCTCCTGAGCGCTCTGGGTGGCTGTTCGAAGGGTGGCATTACATGTCCTGGGCACATCCCACAGCCCTTCCAGCTGTCCCCTGTAATGATAGGGCACTTCAGCCAGTACAGCTGACAATGAACAGAGGGGTAGCCAAGGTTAACCACTTACATCCACTGCTCGCAGGGCCCCCCTTTTCTTTGCTGCTTTGTTCTACATGCTAACAGAAGCTCATTTAAGAGGGTGGTTGCTGGTGGTACCCCTGCTGCCCAGATGTGGTAGGGGTGGCCTGGGCTGGACTGGACTGTTGGGGAATATTATCTGGCTCACCGGAGATGCTCCACTCAGTTCTGGAGCAAGGAGAGGCGAAGTGCAGCATTGGAGCCAGGACAGGCAGGACCAGAAGCACAACGATTGCCCAGAAAGGTCCCCACAGTCCCAGCTAGCTCCTGCTTCTGACGCCCATGATCCACCCCAAAACCTCTCCCTGGAAGGCCAGCATACGTGGCCAGTAGCAGACACCACTACAGTAGCTCACTCTTCATGCCTACCTCAGGCGTTCTCAGCAGCTGTCTGGGGACAGAGGTGGCCCTACAGGTCCCTTAGGGGCTCAGGTAGTGGGGACTAACATCTATTGTGTTCTGATAACCCAGATACAGTCGCATCCCCTCCCCCTGCCTTTCCATCCTTTGTCTGAGTGGCAAGAGGGAGGGAGGGCTGCAAACAGTGCTCAGCACAAGCCAGCTTCCAGCAAAGAAAAGCTATTTAACCCCCACGTAACATGGACGGCTTCGCAGCAGCTCTGCTCCCATGTGGCACAAGGTTGTCCTGCTCTGGCTGGAAGGAGTGATCCACACACGCATCTCACCCCAGACCCTTCCACCCATGTGGCCCTGGACCCGCAGTTCCACTACCTGTAGACATGGAACAGTTGGCTGCCAGGAGTGGGCCCTCAGCTGGTAGTGCAGGTCTCTACGAAGCAAAGCAAGCAGCTGTTTCTGTAGCACAGCCTCCCTGGAGCTAGCAGGGATCAGGATCTGATCCTTGCTTCAGATCTGCAGAGGTTCTGGACTGAGCATCTCTCCACTGGAAAAATACCTTTCCCCCTCAGTTTCCATAATGACCCCAGCGCACTTCTTTCCGCTGTGCAGGGCAGTGGCTGAGCCGTGATGGCCGGATGCACTGCCTGACCTCAGGGTACAGAACAGAGCCATTCTTCTTACCAGATCTTTTTGCCTGGCTTGAAGATCAATCCTCTGGGCTGCCACAGCCTTCCCAGCAGCAACCTTCCTTCCCCTCAGCACTCTGCAAAGGGCTTGGGTAGGAGCCCGGCTGCAGTGAAATCTAGGGCAGTGTGTGCCGAAGCCTCTCCGGAGATGCAGAAGCTGGAGGTGAAGGGACTGGGCACATCCCCAGCCCAGCCGCCGCAGCCCCAGCCGTACTCTCGGTGCCGCTCTCCAGCCGTGCAATCCTTACCCCATGGCCCAGCTCACACCTGGGCGGCGCGGGAGAGAGGATGCTAAGCAACCCCGGACCGGGGTACCCGCACCACCGCAGCTGCCTGTCCCCCTGCCCTCATACCCGCTGGCTCCTGCGCAGATGCCCAGGGAGCAGCACAGGACACCCCCGTTTGCCCCCGCAGCGACTGCCTGTCACTGGCAAGGGACAAGCCAGGAGCCGAGCAGCTTGTGGGCTTTCCCCAGCCCTGGACCAGCTGGGATTATCTGTTTCTTTCAGAGCAGCGCCTGGCGCCAGCTACTCCTCATCAGCACTACAACCAGCCCTGCTCCTTCTCCTCCATACGAGGCTGCTGCCACCAAAAGGAAAAAGACAGAGGAAAGTCAAAGCCAGGGTCGATTTGCCCTGCTGCCCTTCGGGATTATCCTTCCCCCGTGCCCAGAGCTGGGAAGCGAGGGGGCACCGCGGAGGGTGCCCGCACAAAAAGCCCCAGCGGCGTCCCTCTGGCGCTGCCCAGCCCTGCCAAGCCCGGAGCATCCTACCTTTGAACATGAAGCTTCCTTTGTCTCCGAATCCTCTCGCAAAGGGGTGGATCTCCCCCCCACTTTTCTAGCCTGATGCTGATGAAGTAGTACGGTGGGCTATAAGGCTCTGCTTGCTTTTACCTTTCTCTTTCTTCCCCGTGTCCTCTTCTCCCCCCCCTCTCCTTCCCTTCCTTCTCCAGTGGCTATTTCAGCAGAGCGGGGATGCTGGTGCTGCTCCTGCTGCCATCGTCATGTGACCTGAATATTAAACATCTCCGCAAAATCTCCCCCCCGCGCACCCTCCCCCGGCTCCATCCCAGGCCCCCCGACTCCATCCCAGGCCCCTGCCAGCCTCCCTGCCTTGGGGAGGAGCATGGCTGCGGGGCTGGAGGGGCCACTGCTGATGGGCCCCCCATATGTCCCGGAGGGCCCCCCTTGCACACCCACACCACACAGGCCTCTTCTTGCCCCTTTCCCTCCCAATTCCTCAACGTTTGCAGCATCTCTGCTTGTTTAGGGAGGGGCATATTTAACCCTTCAAAGCTTAGCTCCAGCAGGGCTGAGGAAAGACGCTCTTTGCCCCTAGGTAGTTTTTTGGTTCATGGGATTGCAAGGTCTCCTTCTGCTTTCCTGGAGGGAGGAAATTGGGAATGTTTTGGTTCATCAAATGCGATCTGCCCTTCAGCTCTGCTTGTGGAGGTCTGAGAAACCTTTTCTCCTTCGGCACCATGATTCCTGGCTGCCAGCCCATGGTGCAGAGGCAGAGCCGGCGCTGTCCCCTCTGTGCACATGTGTGTACATACATGTGTGCATGCAGGCATGCCTGTGTGTGTATGCAGGCGGGAAGCAGGGAGCAGTCATCCCCCTTGGGCCATACTGGGGGACACAGATCACATCCCTGTGTGCCCTGGCAGGCATATGTGCCTGGCGATGCCCACCTGTCCAGTGGATGTGCCTGTGCCTGGAGAGCTGTGCAGATGCCTCTGGCTGCTTGCACCTTTGGATGGGGATGCCCTTTCCCCCCTGTGCTTTTCCTTCTCCTACATTTGTGTGTCCCTGCCATGCTGTGCTGGGGCACCAACATCTGGGAATGCTCTGACCCTCCACTTGGTGGGATGACAGCAGTACCCTTTTAGGGCTGTCCCCATGTGTCCTTCCACCATGAGGCAGCTCCCTGGGTGGAGGCCAGGCTGTTGGATACCTGGCAGACTCAGCAAGGGTTTTGAGGGCCTATTTTTGCAGCCCTCTGGGGCAAAAAGGAAACTACACCTGCTGCAGATTACTGTAATGTTTAGAACATTTAGAAACCACCATCAGCAGTTACCCAGGCTAGTCTGAGCTGTTGACAGGCTGGCTGCCCCCAGACAGATGGACAGGCATCCTGGCACTCACATCTCCTGACATGGTGACCACAGCTACCTGTTTCCCTGCTGGGTGCCAGGCTCACAAACTCACGGGCTCTCCTCCCACCTGCCATTGCCCACCCATGCTCCCACTGTGGGTCAAGGGGAAATCACTCCCGGGGAGGAAGTGCACATCCTCCCCCACATCATCCCACCTCTACTAAGGGTCCTGCCCCATGCTGGGCTCCATGCCAAGGGACCCCTTGGTGCCTCCCTCCCCCATGCCCAGCCCATCCCGTCAGCAAAGACCCACCGGAGCGTGGTGTGGCACAGGACACCCCCATCTTCACCACCATGGTGGCCTCAGCCCCTCCAGAGCTGCCACGTCGCTGGGGCCCCTCAGCCGCCATGGGCCGGGGGCGAGGGGGGATGGGGGTGACAGGGGCAAGGCCCCGTAGCCGCTCCCAAGGGGGCCCCCTGCCACCCCCACCAGCCCGGCGCAGGGTGACGGAGAGGCAGCTCCTCTTTGTGGAGGCAGCGGCACCAAGGGGGCTCTCCCAGTGCCGTGGGGGGCCCGGGATGCGGCTGGGGCTGGTGGGGCTGCCTGGGGCAGGCAGACAGCTGCGATGAAGGGCGATCTCCTCCTCCATAGCAGTCAGCAGCAGGCTGGAAGCAGAGGTGTGAGAGCAGGGAGCCGGTAGTGCCAGATTGGGCTGGGGAGCCCAGGTCTTCCCCCTGAGACACCCAGGGCGTGGTGTCTCGGGGTGCAGACTTCCCTGGAGCTGCCGTCATCCACGTACTTGAGCTCCCACCTCCAGCCCTGTCCAGTCAGCCAGCCCGCCTCCAGCTGTGACAATGGGGCCCTTGTGGCCTGCATGGCATGCTCCCACGCTGGGTGCTGTGACTGCTACTGCCACTGTCCCAGCACCTTCCTGAACTCCATCACCAACAGCCCCACACCCTGGGCAGCCCCACACCATGACCCCCTGCCCTGGACCCATGAGGGAAGGTGGAATAGCAGTGCACACCTGTCAGGTGAGCCCTGTGCTGCCTGCTCCCTAGCACAGCAGGTACAGTTTAAAAAAAAAAAAAAAAAATTAAATTTTCTGATTATTTGAAATTTTTTCCCTTCCTGTCAATTATTTTCCTCTCAAATGGCATAGTCTAATGAAACAATTTATATCCCACTTTGGAATTTCAGTGGTCACTCGCCGGATGTTCATCCAGGTTGATGTTTCTTCCCTTATTCCAATTTTCTTTTTCTTCTTCATTATTCTTATTGTTTCTTAATTTTGCTAGCTTTGGGGCATTTTCAGTGTCAAGAGAACACCTATGGCAGGGATCAGCTTGCTACTCTACACCTTCCTTACTATAAAAGACTTTGAAGGGCAACACAAGGAAGAAAGGAGAAAGCTGTTTTGGTGGGATGGAATGAGAACAAACATGGTTTAGTGGGCAAGTGGGAGCAAAAAAATAGAGAGATGGACACCCATAGCACCCTCAGCATGGCAGGGGAGACACTTGCCTGCCTTTGGGTGTCCAGGGCTGAGAGAAGTGAAAGGGGAATCACCATCCAGTGACCCACAGCAAGCCGTGGGGAATGCTGGTGGAAAGCAGAGCTCAAGGCAGTTTGAGTTCTCTGCTTCTTTAAGGGCAAAGAGACAAAAAAGGTGGAAAAGACCAACCTGATACTGTGTAGTATTTCCAGCACTAAGTATCTTCTCTGATGTTTTAAGTGTTTCAGTTCAGTATCTGTGACTATTTCCCTCTCCCCTGAGGTCTCTCTGTACAGGTCCCACGGAGGAGAAACAGTCTCAGATTTCAGGCAGCATTTGCCTTTGGCTTAATTATTCCCAGGTAGCTCAGCAGTAGCTGGCACAGGAACCAGGCAGATGAAGATCTACCCTGCTGTAAAGGAAACCTCACTGTGGACTGGTCCTTTGCTGCCTGTCCAGAGCTGGAGGGAGGCAGCTCCCAGGGGGAACAACAGGAAAATAAAGCGCCAACCACACAGTTTGTCACACACTTTTATTCCACTGGGGAGGGCTTGATACTACTGGCCATAAAGTCTTTCATAGCCATGAAAAACACCTGGCCTAATGTTGAATGCATCAGTAAACAATGCAAAACACAAACCAGAGGAGATGAATAATTATTTTCTCTCTAGTCCATCTCCCATCTGCTTGTTGTCTTCTTTTGCTCAATTTCTATATCAAGTTGTGGGCAGATTGGAAGTGAAAACAGGTAGGACAGCACGCAGAGGAAGACAGGGAGGAGGGGAGAGGGAATCCCTGTGGGTGCAGGCTCCCCTTCCCACAGGGGTGGTTCAACTTGTCCCTGATCGCTCCAAGCCCCTCAGTTCCAGCATAGAGGTTTTAACTGCTACCCTTCAGCTCAGCTGTGTCTGTTTGCAGGGCAGTCTGAGGGAGTCTATGAGGGAGTCAAAAGCTGGTGCTTGGAAATATGGCTGTGATGTGCCAGAGGGCAGGGGATGTGAGCCATGCAGCCAAGGGTGGCACGTCAAACCACGCAGCCCAACCCCGTGGCATTTCCCTTTCACAGCCCCAAGTAAGCAAGGCACAAAAATGTACCTGTTTCAAGCTGCACCTGCTCTTTGAGTCTTTGCTTGCCAGAGCGAGTGTAACTTTAGGCACAGGAGTAATCCCACTCACTGCATTTCCCTGACGAGTGAGACTCCTCAGTTAGGGTACTTGCATCACAGTCACTGTTATTTGGCTGAATGAAAGGACTCTTGACTTGTTCTCTCTCTGAAACAGAACCAGAAAGCTCCTGACAGTGTGCCTGGTTCTGATGTGGAAGAGAATGGTAATGCATTTCCAATCTGGTGTATGAAATATTCCAGGAAAACCCAGGATATTTGTAGAATGTCCTGACCTATTCCTTAGAGCTAAAAATTAACTTTCATCCCCAGAGAATGACGAAGTTTCAGGACACACCTGGGCTTTGAGCCTTTGCTTGCCAGGGCAAGCGAAACTTTGGGCACAGAAGTAATCCCAATCACTGCATTTCCCCACATCACTCACTCTAACCAACCCAATGAACTCTTCTCCTTTCTTTGGGAATGGAGGACAAAACTGACACTGACGGATTCACAAGTGAAGCTGAGTGACACGAACCATCCAGGAGCTGTGGAAGATTTGGGTAGCTGGCCTGAGGAACTCCTACTGCCAAAAGGAGAACAGAGCTGTCACAATGGACGACACTGGAGATGTGAGTTGCCAAGATACTGGCTGGCCCAGGTGATGGCACAGGATACACAGATGTGCACATGAGGTTGTTGCACTGGCTAACATACCTGGGATATTCAGGAGTGGGGCACACAGGACCCCTCTGTTGTCAGAGCGTTCATAGGTAACACTGCTGCACCTACTGCACCCAGAGGGTGGGTGTTGGGATGGGAGGAGAGGTAACACAACCTCCTGCCACAGGTTCAGAGCTCTTCCAAACCTCCCTGTGCACACTGAGCAATTCACTGGGCTGGCAGGGAGGGAGAAGGTGTGCATGTCCCTCTTAGCTCTAGTGTCACAACTTCATACAGCATTTTGGTGGCCAATTGGGCCAAGAACAGTGTAGGAAGTCCATAAACATGGGATTTTCTGCCAGACTCACACTATACAGCTTGGGTCCAGAAAGCAGAGGTGGTACAATGGGCCCATGCAGATGCCAGGCTCAGTGGCATTCTCAAACACATGCAGTGAAATACAGGAGATGATTCACAGCTTTTTTGGGATGACAGTTAAGGGAGAGCCTATCTATGCCATAGGGCTCTGGAGCACAGGAGACCAAGTGCGAGATGCCTCCCAGACTATCCCATCTCACTCTGCGACAGAGGAGCAGAAGGTCAGGCAGATCAGGAGAAGCTTATATGATAAATCTGGCAGCACCCCTTCATGGAGAGATGCAGAATATTCTCAACTTGACACAGGACTTGGATAAATCTCTTTAGTAAAGACCTTTAATCTGAATGTGGTGCATCTGGGATGGATGGATGGATGGATGAATGTTCTCCACCTCCCAAACAGAAACAGAAGTGGTGTGCCTTTAGCAGTGGTAAAGGCAGTCAGTCTCTGGGGCTCACTGAGCCCTTGGCCTCTCTACACAGAGCTTCAGCTTACTACACAGAGCTTACTATCCCAGCACCAAGGATGGGTGCTGTGAAGAGCTCAACTGAAGTAATGATCTGTGTTGAAATCCCATTTACTTCCCCCAAAATACCCCCTGGACTTAAACAAAATGGGTTTGATTTAACTTCGTGAATAGGAGTAAAAGGTTCTGTATCCCTTTGCAAGACTGGTACCCTGCTGAGACCTTTCCTACTGAAGGTTGTGTTGAGATGCCAGACAGCTCAAACTCAAGTGACTAACAAGGGTTCATCAGTCTTGGCCATGGGGAGGAGCAGAAGTCTTTGGCTGGGTGAAGACCTGTGAGCACATGGGAAACCCAAGTCTACAGTGCCACACAAACCTTGACTAAGAAGCAAAGGGGCAGAATGGTGAGTGATGAGTACAAGACCCAGATCAGCAAAGAGCAAAGTGATCACCAGCCCCGCTTGCACCAGGACTGTCATCCCTACTGAGGCTTGTGATCTGCTGCCCATCCAGTAGAAACTCCTCTGGATGCGATGGGCAGCTTGTCAGACCTCAGGCACTCCAAAAGCCAGGTTGTCCCGAATCATCAGTGTCTTCCGAAGGTCTCGTTCCATGATCGGCCTCTGTGTTCGCCACTTATGGGCTTCCTGGAGTCCTGGCTCAAAGTAGTAGATGCAAGCTCCAAAGCCCACCAGGATAAGAATGGAGATCATCAGATACACGGGTACAAACCAATCCAAGAAGTGGGGCATGGCTGCCAGAGAAAAAGAGAGAAAGCTCATACAGTGAGAGCACCCAAAAAAACACCTCCACAAAGATTCATCACAAGACATCTGCCTCATCAGGAGTGCACAGCCTCCCTGCAACCCTCCTCGCAGCCCTGCTGCACCCAGTTCATGCTCGGTTGCACACCAAGGGACCTCATCCATTAGGAGACGTCAATGCTTTTGGGATCATTGCTGGGACCGCCTCACAGAGAGGGAGTCCTGCTCCTGCCACATAGAGGTGGTTGAGCCTGCATGCCCCCAGCCCTTCTGCCAGTGATTAAAAGTGGGCAGCTGCTTCTCATCTCCTGCTTGAGGGAAAATCTGCTTCTCCTGACTCTCCATGACCCCTTTAGATTCCCAGTCTGAGCTGGTATGGCTTGGGACTGAGCCCTCCCTTGCTGCATCCCTATTTAGTATCCTGCTTTGCCTGGGCTCAGGGACCTTGCAGTGCTTGGTTCAGCACCAGTCCGTGAGCAGAGCGCGGATTCTTCCACCACTTCAGCCACAGAGCAGCAGGATACACTTACCAGGAGCAGCCGATCTGCCTTGCCAAGATCTCCTCACCACCCAGGAGCGAGGTGAGTCTGGAGCAGCGTTGCCCTGGGGAACACAAAACAACACACTGCATGATCGCTGTTGACCCCGTGCAAAAAATGAGCAAGTAGGAAGGAGAAAAACATTTCCTTGTCCAGCTGTCAGGGCTGAAGATTTCTGGAGGGGTGGATGGATGGGGTCCCAGCCCCGACCCTGCTGGTGCTCTGGTACACTCTCCCCACGATTATGACTCTGCTGCTGCTGTGCTCATGTCATGCACCCTGACTTGGGGCCATTTAAAATCTGTAATGACATCATGTTTGTGCCCATCCTTTATTCTTGTACTTTGGGAGGGAGGGAGCAACCCACATTGCAACTCTAGAAGTGCCCAACTTCTCCAACTCCCTGCTACTTGCTCTTACCAAAACACCTGCCAAGGTGTGAGTTGTGCAGGGACAGAAAAGGTGAATGAGAAGCTTACTCCCCAAAAAGCACAGCTAAAGCCTCCCTGGGCACCAGGGCTGCTTGGTTTTGTACTGTGAATGTGCTACTTGTTACAGGTTTTGGTGGATTAAACCAGGACTTTGGAAATCATAATGGTCCCGGACTCAGGCATAAAATTGCTGTCCTTAAGGGAGGCTTTCTGTAACCTTCACCACTCAGTGGGAGTGATAAAGTGCCCCTTGACTTCAGTTGGGACAAAGTAAGGGCAGAGCTGCACCCATGTCAAACTCTTGCTTTTCCAGACAGCTGAAAGCTGTCACCTGCAACTGTCTCCCAAGTCACCTCTCTGTCAACAACCATGTGTGCCTACCTACCTAGCGTGGGGGAGATAAGGGGAGGCTGGGGAGAGCTCTGAGTATCTTTATACTCTTCACTGCTCCTGCCCCGTAACGCTGATGCCTTCTCCCACAGTGAGGGCTGGGGATTTTTCTTTTTTTTTTTTTATGTCACAGCCATCAGTTGTTTCCAGTGTACCCAGCCCCATGTATTTGCTGGACATCTCTTGCAACAGGAAGGCCTGTAACAGGAAAAGTGAGGTTCATCTTTACCCTCTGAATGACACCTTTTTTGTCACAGGATTAGATCTGAAACAAGCTGCAATTCTTATTACCATAAGCAAGAAACTACCAGCTCTGGAGAAAATGCCTGATTTCCTCCCACTGATTGGCATGGATGTAAATATTTATCTGTTCTCCTTGCATGACAGGGGGGACCTCACTGGATTTTGCCTCCTTCTACTGTGTTCTTTGATTTTCAGCAGTCCTAAGTTTTGCTACATGTGGTACTGCCACTACCAGAACTATACAGAACTAAATTTCTGGAAAACTTTTTCTGTCTCTCTCTCAGTGATTCACATCTCCCTTTTGGCAGGACCTTGCTCCACCTAATCAAGTGTGACAGGAGTGGAAGGCTCAGCACTGGCCACCATTTGACCAGAGCAAAGGGGCAGTCTGAGTGCTGCTCCTGCTTCTTCCTGGCTGCCTCTGCCTTCCTCAGGTAAGTAACCAGTGGAGAAAGCTCCCACCACAGCTTGCAACAACATCACAGACGTTGTGGGGAGAAGTGGGACTTCCCTCACTCAGCTCATCCTAAAGGATGAGGGAGGAAATTCCTCAAAAGGAGCCAGGTCTGAGCTCCGTGTTTGGCCAGAAGCCCCTCAGCACAGCTTTCCTACATGCTCTGCAGAATTAGCTCCCTCACACCTCCTGCATCCCCAGCTGCTGCTGCAAACAGCCCAGGGGGCCAAGGCTGCTGCAAACCGCTTCTCCAGAGGTGCCTCAGCTGTTGATACTCATCTCCAGCTGGCAACAGCAATGGGTAGGGTTAGGGACCCTGGGAAGGTGGCTTTGGCTCGGAACCCCTGGGGTGTCAGGTGGAAAGCCAATAGCCTCATTTCCTTCCCTGATCATCTGCTTGCAAGACATGGGAGTGAAGCTGCCATCCAAAAAAGCAACAGAATAAGAAGCAGCCCTACAGACTTCCCAGTTCATCCTCCCTCCATTACTGGCAGAGCCAGCATTTCCCAGCTCCTTGCCAGCAACCTATTCTTCTGTCTACTTGCTATGCAGCCCTCACCTCATGCTGCGGCCCCACACTGCTCACCCATCCCTGCCCCCGCAATGAAGGGTCCTTGCCATGGCCAAGCTGAGTGCTGGACAAGGTGTCAGAACACCCCTCAGCCTCTGCAGGGCTGGCCTGGTGAAGTAACTTGCTTTTGTCAGGTGGGTGAGCAGATTTTGCCTGCAAATGCTGAAAAGAGGTAGTTCCATTCAAAGACATCAGCTTTTTGGAGCAATTCTGCAGAGACTAAATGTGCCTTAACCCTTGCTGGACCTCAGCATCCTGATGCTGATCTCAGCATCCCATTTTGCTGTGGGGCATCCACATCTCCCTAAAGTCACAACAGAGTCTTTGGTCTTTCATCTGAAAGAGTGTCTCATATAGGTAAGCTGACTGACCCTTTATAAATCCATGTTACACGTGTCACTCCAGCTGCTCACCTTCAATGTCACCCCTGGATCCCCCATGCCACCTCGGTTACCCTCCAAGGTGCCGTGGGTACACTTGTGATGGGAACCCCGGGCTCCCTGCAAATGGCAGAGCAAAAACTGCTTGGGAGAAGCTGGGAGCAGGGTGCCAAGACACAGGTGACTTTGGGTACAAAACCCTCCCCTCTGCATGGCTGGGAGCACAACCCAGGCTGCAGTGTTACCAGCCCCGTGCTCAACACGACCACAGAAGATTCCCTCAGGACTGGGCAGGTTGCAGCTTGAAGCAAGGAGGTGCTGATGACCGGGGACCCAGACATGACATCGCTCCCATGCACCACATTCCCGACAACCACCCGCTACCTGCCCTGCCACTTGCCACCTACTTCCTGACACCTGCCACCTACCTCCTTCCACGGGCGCAGGGCAACGGGATGGGGCTGCTCCTTCTGGCATCTGCCGGGGCCCGGCCGGGATGAGTCAGGCGCCTTTCCCGGTCAGGCAATGCCAGGGAGAAGGGACCCGGCTCCGGGAGAGCTGGGTGACAGCGAGAGGCGACAGTCGCGGATGGGCGGGAGGCAGGCTGGGAGGGAGGGAGGGATAGCGGGAGCAGCCGTGGCGGGCGGTGGGGAGGACACGGATCCAGTACCGCGGCCTTATTGCCCACCGGGGCTCCCGGGGGCTTCCCCCATCGCCTCCCCGGCAGCGTCAGCCCCGCTCCAGTCTCCCCAGGGCACCCCATCGCCGGCCTCCCCCTTACACACAAGGAGGAACCGTCTGCAACCAACTGCATCTCGGAGCGAGGAGGGGGAGCATTTTAGCAGCGGTCGCTATGGCAACCAGCCTCCCCAGCTCACCCGCACATGGTACCCGAGCCAGAGCCACGGGGGAGGTGACCGCGGAATGCTCTCCCTCCTCCCGCATCATCCGCAGCCTGGGCTGCAGCCCTGGAGGAGGAGAAATGCCTGGGCAGACGTGCGTGAGCTCGGGCTGATGGAGATGGATGGGATGTTAAGGCTCCACAGATTTATCAGCCCAGGGTCTAGGGGCTGGTGGTTTGTCAGTGGCAGGATGGAGGCAGAGAGAGGGGGTAGAAGAGGCAGGGAGGTTAGTACTCCCGTTAAGGGTTTCATGTAAAAAGAAAATAAATAAAAAATAAAATAACCAACACTTTGACCAAAAGTATCTTACCTCAAAACTCAGAAGAACATTGTTACCTGAACCACTATTTTTGCTTTCAGTGAAATACCTTGTTTCCTGAATCCACACCTCATTCTGTCACTGCTGCTGCTGACAGGAAAGGTTTTATTAAAACATTTTCAGCTTTTCAGCAGCCCAGAAATGGGGACAAGCAAACTACTTTGTTTTTTTGATATTGTTTGTGGTTTGGGTAGGTTGTGGGGGTTTTTTTGTGTACACATGGAAATTTACACCATGACCCATAAATTGTTTAATGAAAAAATGTCTTAACAAAATCAAAACTGTCTCCAGCTCTGAGAGTTACCTGCTCTCCTGCCTGTGCTCTCCAGCCTTGCCCACTTAGTCTCTGACAATTAAAGCCCTGCAGATGTGCCACAGGGGATGGTTATAAAGGCTTGAAGGGTTAATAGTATCCACCAAACTGAGCCCCAAATTTGTGCCAACTGCACTCCTCTGCCCCAGGAGCTGTGAGATAGGAGGTTTTGACTTCCCAGTAGGTTGTATTTCAGGCAAATGGCTTCATCCCCTCCCCAGGCAAACCTATGGATGGTGACAGAGCCCATGTGCACTTGCTGGCTTCAAGAGTCAATGCACCCAAAAGGTCTGTCACCTGGTCATCCATCAGTGCAGAGACAGGGCTGTGCTGGGAGCCATGGGAGCTGGCTGGCATGCTCCATGATTTCCTCTTCACCCTCCTTTTTTCGTCCTGAGCCCCACATCTTCCTGACGTAACTTCATAATAGCTTAGAAGCATTGAATATAGGTCTGCAATCCCTCTGTACCTAGCAGGATATCTGCATGGAGGATCAGATCCATTAGGTTTAGCTACCTGCTTCCTGGTTTACTCCAGCAAGGTGGGCACTACAGATGATTGCCATGTACCTCCAAAGTGGAGCCTGCAACTGTGCCTTCATTTTAACCTCATTGAAGTTCAGTCATGATACCCACCTTCACCATCAGCACAGTAATAGCTTCATTAATCCCACTGTAGGGGGAGGAAAACACAAGCCTCACAGTTTTGACCATACTGGGAGAGAAAACTGTGGTTTGGAGAAACAGATTTTTAAAAAATAGCGTTGAAAGGATATTGTTTATTGTGTCCCCAGAGCAAACCCTAAGGGTAGGCAAACACGCAGTCAGTCCATTTAAGAGGTCATAAGGAAAACCCCTTTCCAGGTATGCAAAGAAGATAGAGGGAGATCAGAGGTGGCTGGCACAAGGTAGGAGATTATTCATTTCTCCAGGTGACCAGTCAGTGCCAGAGCCACAGGCCACCGGTAGAGCCTGCCGGGCCAGGCATCTTCCTGGACACTGAGCCAACATGTGTAAGATCCCCACAACATCCCCAGCCAACTGTCCCAGCTCCCTGTCCTAGGTCACTCCAAGGGGACACCAGAGCCAGTGTGTCCATCAGTTTGCAACTTCTCCCTGCATTTAAGCTCGGGTTTAATGCCAGCATGCTGGTCATGCAGTCCAAGCCCCAGAACAGCAAGGGTCATTTATTCCCCTAGCTCACTCCCCTGCCACGCAGGCACTGAGAGGGCATGACAAGGAGAGGGAACCACCTCTCTCTGCAATCACCACCACAGCGGTGGGCTTGTGCAAGTCACGACATGGCAGCCTCTCTTGCTTCAAGCAGAAACTCCCCCAAGGTGAGTCTGAAGAAGCAGGAAGTAATAAGCACTGGGCTTTGTGCTGCCAGAGCTGGGACACACTTGCAGACCCCGTGCCTCCACCACAGCTGCTTGCCGCCTGTGACAGGGCTCTCAGGTGCTGTCGCATCCCTTGGTTTCCAACAGGAGCTGTAGCGGCGAGACAGCTCCAGGCATCAACGTGCCAGTACAGCTCAAACTGCATGGAAACGCTTCAGCTGCACTTCACCTTTCCCCTCGGATAATGCTGCTGTGTGTCACTCAGATCTTCCAGGCACAAGCACATGAACATCATTCTGCCCAGTGCCTGGGGGGTTGTCAGTCCCCTCCGCCTGCCTTGGAGGAAGCCCTGGGTGGCTGTGCACACATGAGCCCCTCAAAGCCGTTTGCCCCAGAACATTTGCTTACCACCAAGCCTATGACTACCCTCCACATCTCTGGGCAGCCACAAATTCACATGCATGATGAAGGTGAGCGTGGGGTTGCGTTTGATGTGAGAGGGTCACGCAGCCAGAGTAGAAATCATGAAACCCTTTCAGACAAAAGCCCTGCCTAGAGAAAGAGGAGGTTGTTGGGCAACCTCAGGCACACACTTAAGTGTGGTTAAGTGTTATTCTAGCCTTTCCTAAAAAGTTTCTTCACTGTTCTTTAGTGTTCTTTATGCTTTTATCAGCACCTTGTGAGATGATCAAACACAGGTTGATGCCTGTTTAAGGTAACACCAATTTCCCAAATATTACTCTCCCAAGGTAGGTAGAGGCATGGGAGAAGGCAAGCTTATCAAACTTGCCTCTCCCAAGGTCCACAGTAGAAGACAAAACTCCAGCAAGAGTCACAGAAATGCTTCCCTGCTCAGCAGCTGGAGGTGAGGAAGCTGCTGCAGGATGCAGAAGGCACACTGGATGTATGGTAGGGCATTAGTCAAGGATACTCTGGTGGGAAAGCAGAGTAACCCACCTTCTGGGTGCTACTGCAGCTTCAAAAAAGGTTTAGCCAAGTTGATCATAAAGCTAAAGAAATGTGTATGACAAGTTAAATTAAAGAGCAGAATGGAAAATGCTTTGGGTCTAACAATAGCTGGGAAGAGTCTCTGCCAAAGGAAGCTGAAGTTGCCAGCAACATATGTGGAAATGTCATTAGTTTCTCTAATAATTTGCACTTGCTGCAAATGATATAATTTTTGTCTATCAGTGAGAGAACAAATCCAATCAAATACATGTGAGTTCGTATCCTTCAGGCTTCCCAGGAAGGACTGAGAGAGGTCAGCCTGGAGCCAGTGATGAGTGGCCAGGCTACATCTCAAGAACTAGTGCTGAATGGGGTTGGAAAGAAGTCACCACTGTCAGGAGGTCTGGGAGCAGGTGCTGAGATAACTGGGGCCATACTGGGGCATGTGCTCTTCTCTAGACCATCTCCAAAGCCTGTCTCCTTCATTCCTCTGGCTGCTTGGGGAGAAGCAAGAGAGAGATCCTGAGATGCAGCCACTGGATGAGGCATACAGCAAACTGGTCAACGATACACAAGGCCAAGGTGTGCTGTATAGTATTTTTTGTAGTGGCTGGTGCTGTCCTGCTGCAGGAGCAACTGCCCCAGGAGCAACCTGCTCCCAGGGAGCACTGGTGATGGCCAGACCAAGTCTCGCTGACGTTAATTGCCTTTGTTGGCAGCACCAGAGCATCTTCATGTACAATACACTTCTACCTATTTTTGGAATAGCTTGTGCTACCAGAGCAAAATCAGCCCGCAGAGTAAAATCAGGAGCTCTCCATTTCCATGTCCTATCCTGGTCTCGTCCTTCTGTTTACCCTGGCAGCCAGTGCACAGACACCTCTGTCTAATGTCTCCTGCATCACTCAGAAGCAGAGATAGACTCATTAGTCCCACTTTTCAAACTGGAAATGGGGTGGTGAGAGGTGAAACATCCTCACACAGTCACACAGTGATATGTAAAATACACTCCAGCCTCCAACACCAACTGTGTCTCATCCCTCTCCCCTCTTCTTCTTGCCAAGCTACAGAATTAGACAAGACCCGCAGGCACATTGCCACCCTGAGTCTCCACCTCCTTACACCATCGCTACCATGAGAAAGATTTTTTAAGTGCTACTCTTTGACAGATCTGTTTTATACCCATTGGCCCATGGGTAAATAGCCAATAAGGGTGCAGGATATGATTCCTGTTCTCCCCTCTGGTTCCCCACTGAGTTGAGCTTGCACTGCAGGCTTTGCTGTGGAGCATCCCTGGCTGCATTTCAAAGAGGGAGGAAAGCAAAGTGAATCTGCCTGGCTTAGCTCACTGTGCCAGCTGTTAGGCAATGGCTTTGCATCCCAGGAGGAAACTGGCTCTGCCAAAGCCTGGACTTTGTGGCAGGAACCATCAGCATTTCCGCTGCCCTGCTCCAAGTCACTCTGAGGTGGTCTGTGTACTCAAGGGTCTTTTGTTAGTAAGGGGCTAAAGGGGAAGGCATCCCCCTGGCAAAAGGGCACAGTGAAGATGCACAGAGGAGTGAGCAGGGTGAATCCCTGTGTCTCCATGGGAAGATGGGTGTCATCCCTGCAGCTGTAAGTCTGCCAAGGAACAGCCAAGAAACCTGGCGGGGACAAGGAATAATAACTGGGGGATCAGTGGTAGCTCATCTGGACCCACTAAATCTCCACACACACCAGTTGTGAGAAGGAGGAAGACTGCAGTGAGAGGGAACAGCGAGCATGTCCCCAACCAGACACTGAAGACACTCAGGTCCTTCTGTGAGGCCAGAGAGCAGGCAACAGGGAGTAGCAGGGGGTAGAAAGAGCACAAATACCTTTTAGGTGGGTGCCAGATTTTTCCACACCATCAGCAGCCCAAAAGAAACATTGTCCCACTTGTGCTGTGCCTCCCCCCTGCCTGGGAACCAGCTCTTGTTATTTATCGCATCTGCTTGCTTCCCATCTTTAGGACACGGCTGCCCTGGATTCATCCTCCCTTCCCCCTACCAAACTCAAAACCAGCCAGAAATATCCTATAATCTCTTCTGCTTCACCTGTAATTTGTCTCACGCTGGCAACGAGCGAAACCGTCTGCCTTTGTCAAGATCAAAAAAGCTGCGGCAGCCATGTGATGTCAGCTTACATTGACCCCCCCTCTCTCCCCTTCATCTCCCTTCTCCAGCTTGCTGCAAAAGGGGAGATGTGTCTTCATTCTCCTGCAGCCTTCTTCCTTCCCCAGCATGCCTCCTGCCACTTGGAGGTGCTCTGGTGGAAGGGGCAAGGACAGACAGCCAGCACCAGCAGGCAGCTGAAGGGGTCCTGGACCCCCTTTCTCACACTGAGAAGTTGTAACCAAACTCAGGGATAAGGCAAAGAATAGGAGATGCAGCAAGGTGGACCACAGGCCACCGAGGTACACTGGACCTCTGAGGGCTTTACATCAGGGCACATCATCTTCCTGCTCTGACCCTGGAGTGAGAAAAGCTCAGCCTTCATAACTGCAGTGCTTCTGCATGGGCTCCTTCCAGCCTGCATCAACAGCAGGGGAGTGTGGGGCTGGGCAGAAGCCGACCAGCCAGTGAGGAGAGGGAAATGTGCCCAGGAAGAGGCAAGATGGAGACTGAAGCTGCTTGAAAACCTTGCATAGAACAATTCAGTGTGCAAAGCTAGGCGCTGCTGCCATACAGTGTTAGGGAAATTCCCTTCCTTCTAACAGTCTTTATAGGATGAATGTATTAACTTTGTGTGCTGGTTTAAAGGTAAAACAGCAGGAGAAATGAACCCAACTCAAAAGAGATTACGAGTCAGAATTACAATTTAATAAAAAAAAATCAATAAATACAATTATACAGGCGAACAATTGGTTTTAACCCACAAAACCCCAGATGTATAACCTGGCACCCTGGGGCATGAACAGAATCATGTTCGTTGGCCCCTGTGCTGAGCCCCACGTGGTTCCCCTGAGTCCAAAAATAAAAGGAGAGGAAAAACCTGTTGGTGAGAGTGATGCTTGCAGTCTGGTTGAGAGTGGTGGACACAGTCCGGTTGAGGTTCTGGTCCTCCTCTGGGTCCCATGAATGGTACCAGAAGTCCCAAGACCCCAAGATTATATACACACTAATGTTCGGGAAGGCATGTCCAGCACCTCCCCAGGGCAGGGAGTTCCACCATGGGTGGTTGTGAGTAGTGGGTGTGAGGACAGGAATATCCTCCTATCTCACAGGCTTCTTAACACCCAGCTTATAGCCTGAGGGGTCAGGTGTGCTCTGGATAGCTGCTCCAAATGGTCTATTGTTAACAGTTTCTGGAAAATTACGTAGAGGGTGTAGAATACACAGTTTGGGTTACACCCACATAGTGATGAACTGGTCCCAGCTGCTCTAACCAAGACATTTGCCAACAATTCTCCCTCATAGTTGGCATTGGTGAGGCCATACCTCAAATCCTGTGTTCAGTGTTAGGCCCCTCACCACAAGAAGAATGTTGAGGTGCTGGAGCATGTCCAGAGAAGAGAAATTAAACTGATGAAGCTGAGGATGTTTAGCCTGGAGAAAAGGAGGCTCAGGGGAGACCTTATTGCTCTCTACAACTCCCTGAAAGGAGGCTGTAGTGAGGTGGGGCTTGGTCTCTTCTCCCAAGGAACAAGCAATAGGAAAAGAGGAAACAGTCTGAAGTTGCATCAGGGGAGGTTTACAATGAACATCAGGGAAGCATTTCTTCACTAAAAGGGGTGGTCTGGGACTGGAACAGACTGCCCAAGGAACTGATGGAGTCATCATTCCAAAAGTGTTTGAAGAGGTGTAGATGTGGCACTTAGGGACACAGTTTAGTTTTGAACATGGCAGTGTTGGTTCATTGGTTGGACTAGATGGTCTTAGAGGTCTTTTTAATTTTACAGTTCTATGATTCTATGTATTAGTTCACATTATAAACCGTAATGTAAGGAGAATTTTACTGAAGCCTTTGGTATAGTTCAGCCTTGACCAAGCGAATGGGCATCTGGTCATGGCAAGGACCAGGGGTCAGCCAAGCCCTGGAAATAAGGGCTTTGCTCCTCAGAAGCTTAGGCTGTCCATGGACAGCCAAGGTGAGGCCACCATCCTAATCCTCAGCATCTCTCCAGCATTGCCTGACACCACCTGTATGCCTCAGGCACGACTGATCCCTGGGACGCCTGGATGGCATTAGAAATACTTCTGCTTTGCAGTTTTAGCATGATTAGCCACTTTTGGTGGTCAGTCCCAGCGTGTGGTATCCGAGCGCTTGGGGGGCCCCGCGCTGTACCTGCACTCTTCAACTTCTCCATGAGAAGTGCAGCGGCAGGCACTGATCTCTTCTCTCTGACGATCAGCGATAGGACCCGCGGGAATAGCCTGAAAGTGTACTGGCAGAGGTTTAGGTTGGATACTAGAAAAAGGTTCGTCAGGAACGTGGTCCCCAGGGAGGTGGTCACAGCACCAAGTCTGGGAGAGTTCAAGAACCGTTCGGAGGACGCTGTCGGGCACATGGTGTGCCTCTGCGGGCCGCCCTGCGCAGTGCCAGGAGCGGGCCCAGCACAGCCCCGTGGCTCTCTATCCCGCAGGACATTCCCTGGCTGTGTTCCCGGCGGCCCCGCAGCGCCCCCTGCCGCCGCCCCCTGCCCGCCCGCTCCAGCGCGCGTCTGCAGCCCCGCCCCTCCCGCCCCGCGCTACGTCAGCGCGACGCGGCGCGCGGCGGCCATTTGAATTCCGGCGGGCGGGCAGGCGGCGCCGTCTGTGGTGGGGATGGCGGTGCTCAATCCCTTCGACAAGCTCCCGGAGCTCAACTCCGCAGTCCTCCTGGTAGGTCGCTGCCCATCCCCGCCGCCCCTGCCCCGGGCCAGGCCCTGCGGTCCGAGCCCGCCTGTCCCGTGCGCTCCGCCGGCTCGGGCCGCGCCTCAGCGCGCCGGGCCCGCCCCCCCCGCGGGGATTGGCCGCCCGCCAGCGATATGCAAATGTGCCCGGTGTGGCCCCGCCCCCGGGCGCGGGGCCGGGGGTCTGTCCTGACCGCGCTGTCCGTCTGTGCCCGCAGCTCGTGGGCTCGGACGAGGAGCTGCATGCAGAAGCTGGCGGAGGCGATGCTCCAGGAGAAGAGGGACTTCAAGATCAGCATGTGAGTTGGTGGGGAGAGGGACTCGCCGCCTGCGGATGTGACCCGAATTCACGGAAAGCTACTGCTTCAGAAATGCACGCACCGAAATTGGTGAAAAATGCAGGTTCCGCCCCCGTGGCAGTAGCCGGAACTGCAGGGCGCTCGGTTCAGAGAGAAACTTCTCTCTTGCGAACGCTAGAGAGCACCGCTGCCCAGATGTGGCCGCTTCTGCAGCGGGCAAAACCCTTCTGGCCCTAAGGGCAGGCGGCTTGGGCATGCTTGGAAACGAGGATGGAAGCTCTTCCCACGTTCATGTTCACCATGTGCATACCGATGCCCTTCAGATTTTACACAGATGTTTGATTACTAAGTTGGGAGGATATGAGAGGAACACAGATATTTTTTTTTTCCCCACCTGAGAGAAAGGAATACGCAGAAATTGAACATCCTGTGACAGAGTGGGACAAGTACAGTGCTTGCAAGTACTTAAAACCAAACAAGATGTCCATTGCCTTTGGTGCTCATTGTAGCCATTTTCTAAGTTGTGTGCTTTTCCTCCTCGAGCTATTAAGATGAGCTTGAAATTTTAGCTTTAGCTGTGTGACAAGTGCTGTCTTAAAAGCTTGATTAACTAACTTTCTATGATAAAATGTCCTTGACAGCTCTCTTGCCAAGACCAAATGAGTTTAGTCAGCTCTTCAGAAGGTGTTTGTGTTATTTCGCTGCTGTAATCCGTGGCGATGCAGTAAAAACAACCTGAGCGGAGTTGCACCGCTGGCTAATTGGGGCCACTGTACTGCTCTGATTGTGGCATCTTGGATGTTTGTGCTAACTAATAGCAAACGAATTACCCCATTTTCTGTGCGGAACCTGCAGCCTCTGCTGAGCTGTGGAATGCCAGAACTAGAAGGCTGCTGGTACTACGGCTGGGTAACTGCCCAAAGGCACAGAATCGTGTGCTTGTACTACAGCGCAAGATAAGTCCCTGTGTTAATACCACATATGAAAGCAAAGTCCTTTACAGTGTTTTTGGGTTTTTTCCCCCCACTCTGTTACTTTGGGATTATACACATTACAAAGAAATATGGTATCTTGTCTGGCAAGTTCACCTGCCAGGTACAGCTGTTGGGAGAAGAATTGCAGGGCTGGGTTTTTTTTGTGTCTCTTATTGCTGGGGAAAAAAAGAGTTTCTGCAGCACATATCTGGAGGCTGCTGACATCTAGTCATTTTGGTTTAAATATAGCAGAATTAAAAAAAAAAAGGCACAGTGCTTTTCTCGGTTGCCTTTTTTTTCTTTTTCTCCAGACAATGAGATGATGTTTTCACCACAGTGTCTCTCTAAATTTCAGCTAAAATAATATGCTTGTTTCTGTTGCAATGTGTCTTTCAAGCTCATTTTGCTCATCTCTTGTGTTAGTTTTAGAATGGTTTTGTTAAATTGTATCTTCCCAATATGTAAGAAACCAAACACCTTTATTTGGAGACTGGCAGACAAAACTACAAACTACATAAGATTAATAGAAGGGAATGTGTACTGTGGTTTGTGGCTGCTGGTGAAGACTGTGAAGACCTTAAGACTGAATTGCTAGAAGTAATATTCCCAAAGAAGATCAGAATCAGCGTTTCTCTCTTGGCTTCCAGAGAGGAAGTAGGTTGTGAGAGTGACTAAACTTCTGGGATTTTTGTTTGTCCAATTTAAGTTGATCTTCCAAAAAAATGAGGTGCTGATAATGTTCTTCCCTGTGGAAGGTCCAGTTATGCCCTGCTGAAACCTTTTTTGTTGGGTTTTTGGTTGGTTGGTTGGTTTGCTTGTTTGTTTTGTTGTTGTTAGTTAGTTGGTTGTAGTTGTTTGGTGTTTGTTTTTTTTTAGTGGGAAGAGACACAAAAAGTCCCCACCCTGTATTTCTTCCAGCAGCTGTATCAGCAGCAGTGGTATTGTGTAAGAGGACACCTAAACTAACCTAATAGCTCCTGCACAGTGAAAGGGTTAAAAAGGGGGTAATGGTATAGTAGCAGCTCTTTCTGAGTTATAGCTTCGTCTATAAAGCTGTAGTAGTGATAAGTTTCTGGTTTAAGGTTTTGCTGTGCCTGGAAAGGTAGACTCTCCCATGTGAGCATATGAGCAGAATCTCTGGAATGTGACAGGAAAGCACTGATGCATTTTAAATGGAAGTTGGCAGCGAAATATACCAGTAAAGCATTGGGGTCCACTTTGTTAGAAAGGCCTCTTCATAACAATTAAAGAAAATGACTTACCATACAGCTCTGTGCGGACAAAATGTTTCCATGAGTTGTTATGCTCTAATAAGCTTCCCATTATAACGAGTCCTGCCTAGTGATTACCATTGTGGCTGTCAGCAACTAGGAGTGTGCCGAAGATACGAGAGTACCACTTAAAAATCACTGTCTCTTCAATTACCACGTAGTTATTAATTAGCGGGTTTCCTGGTAACTTGCTACATGGTGAAATTCAAAGGTTGTGTGGTTATGGGTAAGTGGATACTGTCTTGCCAAGCTATTTGGTTAAACTGGGAAATTTATTATCTTTCAGTCACATTGCTACATCCCTCCCCTTACCTTCAGAGAGAGATCACCTTCGACCCAGGATAGATCTGATTGTGTTTATGATTGACATCAAGAGCAAGTGCAGGTAAAAGAAGTGCAAAAATATGAGAGGGGGAACTGGTATTCTTTCTTGGTTTGATGGCTGAATCTACATTTTTACTGTTGGAACTGCTGAATAGTGAATTTCAAACTCAAGACTAGCTGTGGGGTAAGAGCTCAGTAATATATACAGTGGCTTTTTGGCCTCCAGCAGTGGATTAGGAGTGAACTGCTCTGTGCAATAACATGCCTGTTGTGCACTAAGTTGCCGTAGCAGAGAATGCAGAATTTATTTCTGGATCTGAATATGCGATGGTATGAGCTGAGCCTTGGAAAGATGCTGTCTGTAAAATTAGATGGAAATGATGGTGGTGCCGTGAAGTTCTGTAATATGCAGATGGCTGATGTGCACTGGGCAGTGCTACCTAATAACCAGCCAGTTGCTGCGTCTGTGTCCCCTTTTCACTGATACTCCTGGTCCCCAGGGATCAGCACTGCTGATGTCTCTAGGCAAAAAAGAAAGGTCTTCAGGGATTGATCCTTTTTCTGTCATCTTGTGCTTATCTTTGTAGAAATTATATTTGTGTCCCCAGGCAATAAGTAAAGACTTGCTAAGGCACAGAAGTCAGCATTTTATTACTTACTTAACTTGTGACTGATGATCCTGGGCTCTCATTTACCAAAAATGACAGGCCCAGCTGCATACTTACAGCACAGATGGTGCTGCAGAAATGTGTGGGCAAGCTCTTCCTGAAAGAGCCAAAGTGGTGCTGAATCTCATTGGATGTTAATGAATTCGGATGCTCAGTGTCTGTAAGTCATGGAGGACACTGTTCAAACAAAGACTAACTGTTGAGTCTTGAGTAGAAAGGATATGTTATGGATTATTCAACAGCTGTGGGTATTACAGAGGTCTCTGATGTCATGCTTTTAGCATAAAGCAGAACTCTGCAAGCTCACAGATCAGCAGATGTTAACATCACTGGTTTTCTAATTGTGCTTCTGAAAGTTATTCCTATTGTCCTTATGCTGCACTGGTTTAACCTCCCTGTCCAACTGGATTGTCTGTACTTTTCTGACAGCTTGAAGAATGTCGAAGCTTCCCTAGCTTATGTGGGTGCCAGGTTCTTCCTGGGGAAAGTGTGCTTTCTTGTCACTGGAGGTACGTATGGCACCTCTTCCTTCTCTCCAAGCAGCACCACTCACTGTTCGTTTTCTTAAAACAGGGCAGTGACCTAACTTGAAATAAACCAAAGGAAACCAGTGGCTTTGTCAAAAACTTTTTTTCAATTATGTCTGAACTCATCTACCTTTTTTTATTGTTTTCTTAGATAAAACATTGTTCTCTTCTCTCATGCTCACTTGCTCTCTCATTTTTTTGTTTTGCCAGTCAGACCTCTCTTCTCCGTCCCTAATCCCTGAATATGATTTGTGTTATTGATTCTTTTTTTCCTGTGGCATTGCGGAAGTCTGTTCTGTCTGCTCTTGCAGATCTGCCTTAATGATAATCTTAATGAGCACTGAGGGGCATATGATACTGTGATAATAAAGTGAATCTAAATAGATGAGCTACAAAGCCAGTATTGTTTTAATACAAGACTGGTATTCCTGCTGTGTACTGTCTGGCCCTGTTGTGCCTCTAATCCTTCTGATTCCCTGCCTCAAGGAGAGAGGATGCTTTCCTGTGTACCCTCCCTGCTTCAGCTCAGAGAAACTGGAGTAGCCAGACTGTACTGCTCGGTGTTGAAACAGAGGTGCTGTGTCCCTGGAATTTGGGGATCTGGAGGTCTAATTCTGGGGTAGTGAAGGAGTTTCAGCATTGTCTTGTCCTGTGGCTCTCACGATAAAGCGAATTTCTTTGACAAGACCACTCTGTGATATCACATGACCCAGCAGGACTTTGATAAGTGGAAGATTCTGCCCGTGCTGATGGTGCACTGATCCCTTATTCCAGCTGTTAATGTTACATTAGCAGTAATGTGGCAATACTGTTCCTGATTATATATTATGAAATACTTTTGTGCTAATTCCATTTCAAATCTTTTATCATTCTGTTTGCATTGCTCACTGTTGCCTTGTCTTCTATGGGACTCTCAAGATTAGCTCTGGATCATTTTTTAATTGTGGAATTTCCTGGTACTTTTCTTCACTGATTGCTGATTATGGGGCTTGTAATGTGGAAAAACTTTTTTATAGTTGGCAGGGTGAATTGTTGCAGCATTGAGATAAATGCCGTCTCTAAACTGGGAGAAGCCTACTGCAGTCCTGTGCTATTCTGTGAACTGGAGGTAAGGTGTTTATTCGATGTCTGGAGGGATTTCTGAACTCCACTGCTCTGTGATCCTTAGGAACATCATTACATTAGTAATAAATACATGTACATACGCTGCTGTCCTGCTGAGTGTCAGAGACCAGACTGTTTTTACAAAAACACAAGAGGTACAGGAGTCTGTCCTTGAATTCAGCCTTCTAGTAACCTGCTCCTTACTGTGCTACTTCAAGGCCTCAGGGAGCCAAACCTAAACTAAAAAAGTCATTCCTGGTGTGCTAACCCTTGGTGTGCTTGTTCCTTGCCGTATTTTTTCTTCCTGGGAGCCCCTGAGCTGTTATTGCCGTATGACTCCCTTGCCCATGTAATGCTTCCTGTTAGCCAAACTTTGTGGCTTCACTGACTGCTTTGCCATCTGATATGCCACTCTTTCCAATTACCTGCTTGCTCTGAAAAGCTGGAGGGAGAGTTTGGCGTCCAATGGTAGCACACTTCACTTTTCTGTATATTCATCGTTCCATCCTCAGAGACTGCTTCCTTACCAGCAGGTAGTACCTGTGCCTTTGGCAAGCCCTTCAGGGCTGTCAGCTGGCAACACTGTACCTTCCTTGACATTAGGGTTGTAAATAGGCCTGTTTGGGGTTTTCTGTAGCTAGCCACTTATTGCCTGCTCCTTTCTTTTATGACTGCATTTCTTCTTTTCTATTGATTAAATAATTTCTCCATTTTGTTTCCAGTTGGAAGGCGTACGAGTTGCCACTGCTCAACGACTTCTCCGAATGTTACAGATCTGTGCTGGTCTCGTACCGGGATTTTCTGCCTTGTCTTTTAGCTTGCTGATGAGGAACTCTGCTGATGATTAGCTTCTCGTTGTGATAATTCAGCCACATTTGTCAGATTTTTTTTTCACTTCAGGCATTCAAGCTGCTGCAGTTGGAATCACACTGGGGAGCCTTTTTGCCTGACTTGTCACAACCACTCATCCAGAACTGTTCCTAGTTGCTTATCTCTCAAGAAAAGCTTGATTCCTATGCAGTGGAAAACGTATAGGTGCTGTGGGGAAGGCAGTTTGAATTCGGGATTCTTATCCATTATTACACCTGAACCCCATTTCATGATCAAGTTTGAGTTTCATCCACTTGGCTAGTGGCCAGGAACTACATGTTTTTCTCAGAGAATATCAGAAGAACAGGCTGCTATTTCCAAAGTTCTAGGGAAGAGGCAGCAGACTCCTGCTTCCTTCCAGTTGAAATACAGCACCTTGGACTAATGTGAAACCTTGCTGCCAGGTTTTGTCCTCCACCAAGAAAGGAATTGTGAAGGAAGGCTGGCCCGCAGCTTCTACATAGACTGCACTTGGCAGTTAATAATCCAGCTGTGTGAGCATCTGTGTGTCAAAGGGCTCAGTATTTCCATGCCTGATACTAACTGAGGAGGAAGGGACTAAAGAAGATAATCTAGCACTTTAGCTTTCTTTTAGATCTTTGAAGAAAAAGACTCCACCTGTCAAGCCCGGGATAGCTCCAGCAACCCAGCCCCCAAGGCTGAGCAGAGTTCAGATGCAGCAGACTGGACCACAGCAGCACACAGAAAACACACATCTCTGTACGTTTGGCACATGCTGTGTATAATCTCTTTACTAACAGGTTCTTATCAGCAGTAAGTCATACCTTATTCTTTCTGCAAGTCTTTAGTGTTTGAGAGTTCCAATTTAATAAAATGAGTAATATTTAATAGTTGTATGCTCTTTGTTATGTATGTGGCACAGGCAGTAAAAGCTGTGAACACTTGCTCTGGTTTGCCCTGGCAGCAGGGCTGGACCTTGCTGGCAGCTCAACCCCCCAGTTAGTTTTTGTGCTGCACTGGTGGCTTCAGCCACGTGGTGGTGGCAAAAGCTTTCCAAATACAGCGCTTCCTGTACACCAAGTTGAGCCACCTGCCAGAATACAGTGTTTCTTGAGATGCTGGGATTTTTCTTGCCCAGAATTGCATGCCAGGTAGAAATGAAGCCTAGAGAGAATGTGTTAAACTCCCCCCTGGCTCAATTTATTTAATCCCTAATAGTCTGCTTTAATGTTCCTAGGTGGAGAGCTCTAGCTGTGTGCGCTGTTTCGGTTAGCTTGTTTCTGACATCTGTCTGTGAGCAGGAAAAGCAGAAAGCAGCACTGCAGGCTTAATCAGCTGTGAGTGTTGGCAGTCTTTGCAAAGACAGCTCAGCAAGGCACAAAGCCTGTATCCTTGCTCAGAGGACACACAAATCCCAGCTCCAGTTGTATTGTTGCTGACGGGGGAGGGCTAGGTTGTTTTTCAGCTGGAACAAAAGAAGCTAAACCATTCAGCTGTGTTATGATGCCCAAAGGGGCTGGACTCTGGCTAAAACCCAAAGGAGAAAGACATGTGCAAACTGTCGTGGCTGTGTAAGGAAGATTGGAAGCTTAATGGGCATGCCCTACTTTCAGCTAGCTTTGTGATCCTGAAGGTACTAACCAGGACTTGGCCACCAGAGAGGGACAATCATGCTGAGAAACAAGATTTTGTGTTGGTTATGCTGTCTCAGCCTTGCTCTCGATTTGGGTCCCTCAAAATAAAGGAGACCATGGTTTATAATACCCTGGTTTCGATTTGCTCTTGATGTGCAGGTGCACTCTGAGGGAGGGAAGGAAAGGATGTGGCATGAAATGACCCACTCTTTCATGTCCTCCCCAACTCCTGCAAGACAGGGAGACTTTTTCATCTCCTAGGTCACTCTCCAGTTGACTCTAATAACTCCTGGACTAAGGTAAAATCCCTTTGACCTCGAGTAATTTCGCTGTGTTTTCTGTACTAGTGAAAATGAAACTTTTTGGTCTACCCAGAATGCTTTGTAGCAACCCACACGTGCTACTGTCCATTCCTGCACCTTCAAACAGGGTTTTTTTCCACTGTTATGTTTCAGATGTGGTATTTCTTTCCTTCTACTACTTTCAAAGAAGAAAGATGCTGTTTTTATACTTCCTACAGGTGGCTGAATCTCAGCTGGTACAAAATAAAATCTAGTTCCTTAAGAGCAGCATTTGGCTTCACCTTGGGGCAAATATTTTTCTTACTCTTAGGAGAAAGTATTTACTAGAACTGGCAGGGGAAGTGGAGCGTATCTAAGAATATGACACTGTGTCTCAGGTCCATCATGTTTTACAATCCAAAGTAGTTGGGACACATCTAAAGCTACATCTTCAACTATGTAAATACCTCTAGGAGCTGTCAGCTATTAGTTTAGACAGGCCATAACACTGCCCTTACTACCAGAGAAGACAAGGCAGCTGAGGATATCTTTCATCTGGATGGAGTAGCCAGGGCTAATGTTTGATAAAGGTCTTGTGAAAGTAGTACTTGGATTGGGATCAGAGGCATGGAAGGCCTGAAGCTGAATTAAGGCTAGTGACTCAGGTTCTGTTGTGTTCAAACATCACGAAAGAGCTTGCCAAGCTGACTGAAATCTAAACTAACAGAAACATTTTGGAGCTACTTGCTTTCTCTTTTCTCTGTTGCCTCAGTTCCCTATCCCTCTGGAGATTTTCAAAGAGAAATCCCCCTCTGTGACAAAACTACCCATAAGCATTGCTGGTTTGACTGTTTCGGTTTGTGGATATGTTTCTGTTTGTTGGTTATGTCAGCAAAGTAAGTGTAAAAGTGGTTTAATTAGTATAGAAAACCTTGCAACAGTTGCACTTTGGTCATGACTGGTTTTTCTTGGATGGAACTGAATGAGGTTGTCATACAGTCTCTTCTGCCATGATAGGTTGACCGACAGGATTTTACCTTCAGTCCAGTCACTTGAAGATTCTGTATCCTCAGCCTGCTGGGCAAAGGGCTCAGGCGGGTGCTCTGTGAGAGATTTTGGCACAAATCATCTTGGTTGGCATTACCTGTTGGGATTATAGCTCTTCACTACTTCAGGTTTTCCAAGGGAAGGGTTTTTTTTTCCACACTTTGCCACACCAGCAGTTAAATTAGACAAACTTTTAAGCCTGAGACATGACATACTCAGTCTATACCAACAGGAGAGAAAGCCTGTGTACTGATATGGCACCCATGGTAATAGATCTCTCTGTCCTGGAACAAAGATTAGAGATAAATCCAGCCCTGGGGATTTATCTGTCCCTTCCAAACCTTGAAACTGGTAGTAGAGGTTTAGATTCAAGGCCACCTCTAATATTTGCTTTGGGGTCTGGTTAAAACTGGATGTCTTTGCTTGCCAAGACCTGTAGTTTGAAGGGAGTGACTGGGTTAGGTCAGAAGTGGTGTTTAGCAGCTGTGGTCAAGCTGTAGGAGCTGCTTGGTAGCTCTCATCATGACCACTGTCCACAGCAGTGATGGACAAGAAGGGGGGCCCCTGCTCTGCTGCCTGGAGCTGACCTGCAGAGCTGTGGCAGAGGTACCTGCTCTCCTGGTGAAGGCAAGAGAGATGCTTCCTCCTGTGGGGTTTTTAACTTGTCTTGATTTTCCAGGAGCACTGGGCTTTGCTCTGGCTGCATTCCAGCTGCTCTGTTTTCATTCAGCTGGCCCAGATCCCCTGGCAGTATCATCTGTACTCTGAGCGTTCTCCACTTCCCACCCTAAGCTGGTGTGCAGCATGTTGCTGTGGGCTGCTGAACGACTGCCACTTTCCATTCAGTGGCCAGCTGTCCTTCACTGGTGGGAAAAGTGATTTATGTGCAAGAGAAAGCAATAGCTGGCACAGTCCAGAGCTGGGAGCCAGAAACACTGGGTTCGTTTCACCTCTGTGGCTGACTTCTAGCGTGACCCTGGGCACGCGTGTGTCAAAAATTCACTGTGCCTTGCTTGCTCTGCCTCTACAGCAGGAGCTGCCTCCACCGAGGGGGTGTAATGAAGGCAAATGACATTGCTTTGGGGTCGCAAATCTGGAACTGAGTGGAAACAATCAGAAATAACCATTTTTTCCTATTCAGCAGAGTTTGACTTTTACCTAAGTTCTGTGGGGGAGAGTTTGGTGGGAACTGCCTACTGGGGACCTCCAGAGATCGGCCGTGTTTTGTGCCGCTTCCATGCCTGACTCTGCAGCAGGGAGGCTGCCTGAAACTGGGCTGTGATCCTTCTCAGGAAGCACTGCGGCATGGTTGGGTTTTGTTGTGAACTGGAACGAAACCACCCTCTGAAATGCTGAAATTCCCTGCACAATTCAATTATCCTTGAATTGGCCAGTGGGAGAAATTAAATTCTCTGGATCTCTTCCTCATTGTTAAATATTAATACAGCGCAGCGATGCCAGGCAGGATGGCATCCCCTCGGGTCAGCTCTGTGCAGGAGGGGCTGCCTTGGCTGTGAAGAGCGAGAGAGGTCAGGCACAGGGGACTCCGGAGTGATGTGACTTGCTCAGACTCCTTGGCAGCTGAGTAGTGTGGGCTCCTGGCCCGTGCTGGGCCACGTTTCCTTTGCCACGGGCTCCTTGTGTGAGAGCTGACACATGCCACCATGTTGACATCCCTCATCCCCTCGAGCTTACCATGTGGTGGGGCATTTTGAGAGGAGCCAGGAGAGGCACCGTGCCCATCCCCCAGCCCCGCCGCCTCCTTTGCCGAAGGAAGTCAGCGGTGTGTGAAAGAGAGCCCGTGTTTTACATATGTGCAGGCTGCCTCCTCGCCGCCGGCCCAGGTGCAGCTGCGGGCGGGGTGCAAGAGCCCCGTGGGCTCTGTGCGTCACGGGAAGGAGCACCGAGGTGGGGCAAGGACAAAAACAATGAGAGAGAACACCTCCCCTTGGGAAACTCGGTCCTAGTGTGCAGGGGTTGCTCTGTCCTCTGGATCCCACCACCCTCTTGACACTACAACAAGCTGTGCCAGGGCCAGCTGAAGCACCTGTGCTCAGGCACGCTGGAAAAACCTAAAAATCCTAGCTAGCATTAAACATGCTAAGGAGGTTTTCCCTGTTTTCTGGGGAGTATTGTCCTTTTCTGTCTTCCTGCTGAAGCTCTCTGGCCCAACTCTGTGCTCACACTGCAGTGGCAGGGTGATGGTGCCATGCTGCGATTGGGCCTGCCTTGCTCCTGCCCTGTGCTGGGGTTGTTGAAACACCTTGTGTGTTTGTTGAGGGTTGGCAGTCCTTGAGGCACTATTGGTGTCTGCTCAGCTTAAAGCTCTCTGGAATCTCTGTGCTGGCCATTCTCCTAGGTTTGACAGCAACACTCTGGGATTACCCCAGAGTGATCGGTCAATTTTTGGCCCCCACTGCTGTTTCCTTTTCTTGCTCTTCCACAGATCACAGATATGAAGCCAGGGCTGCATTTGACTCAGCTCAGTATGTAACAATCTGTGGCTCGTGCAGCAATGGAGCATCTCTCTTCAAAGCAACGTGCCAGCATCAATTAATTAATCCTCATTCCTCCATGGGACTGAGGAGTGACTCAGTGCCTCATGCTGTTATCCTGAGCAGCAGAGGATCAAAGGCATTGGAGCTGGGGAAGCCCTGGGATAGCACAATGTCACTCTGTGCCTGCACACCAGGTATCTGTAAAGGCTCAGTCTTGTGCACTTATCTCCAGGGCTCCTTTTTAGCCATGCAGGGGACTGAAAGCTCTACAATCTTAGAGACAGGTCTGGAGCTGCCTTTGCTTCATTCTTCAGGGAATGTTTTTACTACTTGATGTTCCCTTTTTACCTATTTCTTCATTACAACCCAGCTTGGCCATCCTGAGCCCTTCTTCCTCCGGACCTACAGGTCCTTTATGCTTTCTGGCA